AACAGTTCAAAAAGAAGATATGCCTGTTGCTAAGAGTGCTCAGGTGTGAGATCTGATATTGTTTATACTGCCCCCAGAGCAGATATTCTGTAGTGTTCAGATACAGTTGGGCAAGTGTCCTGCCTAGAGATTTTACTTGCTAATTATCTCCTGTCCTGGGTCTAGCCCAGAAATAGAAATAAATTACAGATAAATTTCCAGGACAGTGTAAAGGGAGGAGGAAGGCGGGTCTGGAGGATGTTTTTCTCCTCCATGGCTGCTGTCAGCTTTCTTCCCGAACAGTCCAGGAGGTCTGTGAGTTATCCCAGAAAAGTGAGAGAGCTCGGGAGTGGGAGTAGGACACACTCTGCAAACACAGCACCCGCATTTTTGAAGGTGTGTGCTTTGCAATGGGTGATTTGCTCCTTTATTGTCTGCAGAGTAACAGCAGTGACAGCATTGACTTTCTCTAATGAACAGCTGCTCAGTGCTAGGATCTATTCCCGGAGGAGGCTCACAGGGATGAATAAGGTTTCATGCTCCTCCTCCGGAGAGGGTGAGAAAGTTCGCAGAACAGAGATTGTTGCTTGATTGTTGGATGTCTCCAAATCTTGACCTGCTGACAGCTGAGAGCTGAATGTGTCGCCATGCAAGTCGTGTTTGACCTTCCAGCACTTTTACCAAGGCAGGGTGTTTATGGAGTCGGGAGAGAGGTGTTAGTTCCCATCCAAGAAATCATCCTCTTGTCACTGCAAACGACCATCACAAATTGGCTGAACAAAAAGCATTTTCCTCCTGTTGCACTACCTGAATTCTTCACTGATGCTCTGCACTAACAAGAGCAGGGAGGTGGGAGAGGATCGCTCTTGAATTATGGATGCATTAGAGGCAGAGCCAAGTTATGAACTCTTGGAGTTGGAAATCACTGATGTATGTTATAACTCAAGCCATGACCTCAAATAAACATTCTGAGCTTTGTCCCAAGCAGCTCCTCGTTGACATCCCTGCTCATCGTTCCCCTTCGCTGTGAAACGACGCAGCTTGGATTTGTGGAGGTCAGGCAGGAGGTCTGTGTGCTGAGATGTGTCTGGCTCACTCACTCGCTGTCTCCAGGTTCCTTGTGCTCCCCTCCCCACCTCCTTTCGCTTTTATAACACGTGATCATAAATGATGTGTTGTATTTCCTCTGTGCCTGCCCTGAGCCCAGCTCCAGGCACTGAGAGATGCCTCTGAGAGCAAGGGTACAACGAATGGAGCACCCAAATTTGGCCTGACTCTCCTGTCTCATGACAGGCAACTGAGAAGTCCTCTGTAGTGAATCGCTCAGAAACAGTAAAACTGAGGGGAATATTTTGAAATATTTCTGCAGATGATCAGTGAGTCTCTTGTTCTGTGGTAGCACTTTTGGTGTCTCCCTGTGCAGACACAAGTGTGTGCACAGGTTAACAAACTGTGCAGGAAAAGAGCCGCCTTCTCCAACTTTCAGTGCCCAGAGGATTTCCCTGAGTCCTATGCAACAATCCCAGTCACCCCAGAGCCATTCCTGGCATCCCATAGGCAGGTTTTTTTCAGTAAAAGAGGGTAAAATCGATCCATCCGATTCAGAAGGGCAAAAAGTCCACAAAGGCCATCAGTGATGGCGAGTTTTGATGTGAATCCATGGGCTCTGCCTTGGGCTGTGCAAAGCTTTTGCCTGGAGCAGCTCTGCTGCTTGGAGAGGCAAAACAAAGCTGGTAGAGGGGGGAGAGATCTCAAAGCCCAAGTTTTAAATAGCAGCACTGTGAAAGCTTTTAATACCCCAGAGCGGCCAGCACGGCGCAGGTGCATTCAGTGACCTGTTTTGTTCAGGCAGTGAAAGATGGCTTGGAAACTGCAGCTCTTTTTTTCCCTTTGGTTCTGACAATATTCCCTCTTGACCTGAAATGGTCTTAACGGCAGTGGAGACAAAAAAACTCACGTTGGTTTTACTCTTTGCTGCGTGTTGGAATCCCCTGTGTGGAGGTTTTCCGGGTTAGCTCAGTGCTGTTCTTGGGAACTCCTTAAACCAAATGAAACCCAGTTTGTGCCAGTGAACCTGTGGTCCATTATGTCCAATGGATGGCAAGGGAAAAATGTGCTCCAAAGGGGCTCAGTTTAAAGAGGAGCTTGGCTTGTGGACTTGCTCTGAGAGACCCATGGTGGAACACAAAGCTGGAGAGAGATGTGTTTGTGTGTGCAAGCAGTGTAAGGGGCATTCATCCATGCACACACCCAGGAATGCACTGGGAAAGCAAGCAGAACTGTTTGGGTTTATAATATAATTTCAGTAATAATCAGATGTGAGGTCTGTACTAATATGTTTTCCCAATAGCTCTTCAAGGCTGAAACTGAGGTAAAATCCCTCTCCTGGTGACTGGCAGCACTACCAAGCAGTACAGGAGAAGTGCCTTCAGGTGAAGTTTCTACAACCTGTAAAGTGCTTTTGCCAGTCAGCACCTGGGGCCGTGCACCGGAATGCAACAGATGAGTGTTAAAGTCAGGTTTGAGGAGCTTTGTCTCTTCCTCTGCCCTAAGCTCGGTAGAGAAAGCTGCTTGGAAATCTGGCAGGGAATATATTGCCATCTGGCTGGTGTTATTTTTTCACTCTAGATTTATTTTTTTCCCCCAGCACTGCAGAAAAAGACAGCTTTGTGCACACAGACGTGTTTCAGCCATGTCCTGCCCAGCAGGTACACGGCAGCCGGTGGTGTTGGGTAAAGAATCTCACTCTCGTGGTAGGCTGAAGTCCTGCCATGTATATTCCTGCTTCCAGGATGTGGATTGTTGGCTGCTGCCCTGCTTGTTTTTGTCAAAAGCTGCCATGGCCCTGCAGTCTGATGCAGGACTAGTGACTACTTGTGGATATTAGTGCTTTGTTGAAAGCTGCTGTTGCAGAGAGCCTTGCATTTCCCTGATCCTTCAGCTTGGGTCCCTGGTGTGAGAGCTCTTGTGCCTGTTTTTGCATTAAGCCCATTTTCTGTCTCAGTAGTTCTCAGGCCCAGCCTTGGCACCACAGCGACCAGGACTTTGATCTGTTTATCAGTGAGACCTCACAATCCTTATGTGATGTATTTCCTTCTTGTCCCTGTGCTGTCCCCCAAATTGTCCTGCTGCAGCTGGGTGTGATGGCTGAGAGGCTGCAAGTGTCCATGGACAGAATGATGGGAGCAGGTAATGATGTGGTGGAGCAAAGCCCTGGCCAGCCCAGGAGACTGTGTGTGCCTGCCCACTCCAGCCCCTCTGTGCAGGGTGCTTGTCCCACTGGAAGGAGGACAATTGGCCTGGCTCTTCCTTTATGCCCCAGGGCAGCTCCTATTGCTGGTGTTTGCCCAGGGCTGGGGTTGCAGGTCAGTGTGGTCCAACCACTGCCCCAGGTCAGGGTCCAGGGGTGCTCCTTGGTCTCTGCTTCCACCTGCTGGACAAGCACTGGCTCCTGCTCGCTCCCGGTCTCCCTTGGTGCCTCAGGGATTCTGCTGCTCCTTTTGACTGTGCTCACGTAATACTGGGGATGGAAATCCCTTTCACGCACGTATGGACTGGGAGAACATTTCAGTGTTGAACCAACTCTTTGGCAAGACTGCCCTGCTTAGAGTGAATGGCAGCGAGCCTGGGGATGGGCTGAGCATAGCACATTCAGTGCAGCCCTCTGTGGCCTCCTGCCATGCAGGCAGCTCTGCCTGCTGAGGCCAAAGCTCCTCTGGTTTGTATCCACAAGGAATTCAAATATGGGTTGTTTGAATGCTTCATGAATAGCCAGGAAGGGTCAGGCCAGACGTCCAGCAGTGCCATCTCCAGAAGTGACCACAGCAGATGCTGGAGGACAGCATGTGAAAAAACTGGGCAGAGAGGACATGGTGCTTTCCTTGGACATCTCCCTCAGCATCTGACAGTCAGGATCCCTGTCAGACAAAGTATCCCAGTGAGGACCATTTTGGGCTGGGGACTGCAATGAGACCATATTTAACAGTCCCAATAAATGTGTCCGTCATGAACTTGTCTGAACTTCTTGGGTTTTGAACTCTGGAGCATCCTGAGAGTTTGTACTGTGCAGAAAGGTCCTGCTTTTATTTGTTTGAGACCTGCTGCCAACAACTTTCTCTGCAGGCCTAAGAGTTACTGGTGCTACGTGACTCCTCTGCATTTACTTCTCCCTTCAACAACAAAAGTGTCCCTCAGAGTTAGAGGTATTTGAGAGAGCTGGAAGAACAGGGCTGCTACTGTTGAGGGTCAGGAACAGTCTGGTCTGCTCAAGAGTGCTCCGGTTGTTTTCATCTGACAACAGAAATTTGGCTGCTGCAAAGGCATTTCCTTAACCTTCCCTTAACCTCTGCTCAGCAGTGGGCAGACACAGGCAGAAGGTTGATTTCAAGCAGAATATCCCATTCTCAAGACATTGTGCAATGCAGCCTGGAGACCTTCCTGTAAACCTCGCTTGATTTAAGTGTTGGCTGTAGGTCTGTGCACGTACAAGCTGCTCAGGGCTCTCTCCTCCAGATGTGTGATGGCTGATCAGTCTTTGTGCTGTCAGGTGAAGGCTGGGACACAGCCCTGACCTTTCCTTGCTGCAGTTTACAGTCCAACATCTGGCTGTTAGGATTTCTGTAACCAAGTTACTGGATTCTTCCCGAGCTGTTCCAGTGCCTTGGCGAAGGCTGTGAGTGTTGGTGTTGCTCTGAGGACAGCAGTGTCTTTTTTTGTCTAGAGAACAAACATCCACGTGGCAACAGTTTATGAAGGTGCTGGGTTGAAACTACTAATTTTCCTTGGGAAATCCCGATATTAATTTTTACTAAGGCCAACATGATTAGAGTAAATCTGCAGGGCAGATTGTTCGTTGCTTTAGTAAAAATATCATAGTCATGTAAAAGCAAGACCTGCTCTTCTCCTCCAAGTGGGCATGAGCTGTTTCCACAAGTGAGACAGCCCAGGGCTCTGCATTCTCTGTTTCTCTAGGGACTTTGCAACTTGTAAGGACAGACTTCTCTTTTTGTTTTTGCCTTTAGGCTCCCAGCCAGCAGGAGGAGATGTCACCATTGTGGCTGCTCCGGAGAACACCACAGTGGTGGCAGGGGAGAGTGTGGTGATGGAGTGTATGGCGGCTGCTGATCCCACCCCCTTCGTGTCCTGGATACGACAGGGTGAGTATGAGGGACAGGGTTAAGTCTGTGTTGTCAAGAGGAACCTGTGGATACTTTATTTTAAAAATCTATTAAAAGGTGAAAAAATCTGTGGGACGGGAAGGGTTCTCTCTATATTAGTACCTAATGGTGTAGGGTGTCCTTGCTGAAGTGGAATTATTAATTAAATCTTGATGGTTACAGAGCACAAGGTTCAATTTATAGTTGTTTGACCTGTGAAATACATGATGTTCCAGTTCCTGGATGCCTTTTGATCTAAATTAGTCCTCCTCATTGTATGAACTTGGGCAGTGAAGGTCACGAAGATGGGGTCAGGTGTATGTCACTCCTCCAGGGACTCAGAGGTTACTGAGGATACTGCGGAATCTGCCGTTGCACTGGAGAAATAACTTGTATTATCCTGCAGCATTATGAGACTTGATAAGATCTGTTAATCCTTGGAGTGACTGGGACTGTTGCAGGGAGGTTTTTGTTGAGTGGAAGGATCGAGGAGCTGCTGAGGTCTCGTCAGAGGTGTACGAGTGAGCTGGGATGGCAGATGTTACCCAGGGCTGATAGCCAGAGTCGCGAGGAGGATGCCAGTGTCACTTCACTGAGAGTCACATCCATCAGATGTGTTTCAGAGGCTCTGACTGAAGACACTCTCAGCTCAGAGGTTGATTCTCTCCCAGAAAAGGCTCTCAGTCATTTTCATAAATCCGGGTCACAATTAAAGACTCCTCTCCCCTGTAACTGTTTATCGTGGTTGGTTTTCAGCCCAGATTTGTCCACGGGCAGTGACTTTAGCATATAAAAATATTTCCTCTTCCCCACAAAAGAGGAGCAAAAAAATCTCAGAGGATACAACTTTGGAAATCAAAGCAGCAAGGATTAAATGTTCTGGCAGAAATATTCCTGGTTTATCCCATGCACTTCACAATTACAAATGCTCAGCGTTCCTGTGCTGATCACTTACTCACTGCTTTACTGAGAGCTGCTGATGCCCATAGCAGAGTAGATATTATTAGAGTTAATTATCATTGTGAAAGTTTTTGGGAAGGAGGGAAGACAAGTGGGAAGTGGAGAAAGGTTGGTGTACCAGTTCTTTCCATGCTTTATTTCAAGTGTTTGCTTGGTCCCAATCTGCCTCCTGGTGTGGACTCTTCAATTAAAAAAGATGGATTAACAGTGCTAGTCGTTCTGTGTCACACAAGCATGTTTCTTTCCAAGCCTTCATTAAGGAGCAGGCTGGGTTACTGGACCATTAGTCATGCAGGGAACACCAAGGATGTACCTCCAGCTTGCCAGTTTGGCTCTTGCCAGCCTTGGTGGTGTCAGCTAATTGCTACCATCTGGAGTCAGGTTTTCCAACCACTCGAGTGCAAACGGGGTGTGCAGATTGTCTCCTCCTGAGTGTGCAGCCACTGAACTGTGAGGCCATGTGAAGCCCCCCAAAATGGAGGGAGGGGGCAGAGGGTCTGCTCTCAGCCACATTCCCTGCTGATGGTGCTAAGCTGGTGCAGCTGCTCTCAGTGGAGGTGGGGAGTTTTATTCTGTGTGAGATCCAGGCTCAGCTGAAGCTGTGAGAGGTAAGGGCAGGCAGTGCTGAGGTTGTACTGCTGCAGGTGGAGAAGAACAAGGTCTGGTAGTGCACAGGTACTGCACAAATTGGCAGGTTTTCCCAGGCTGCTGACTTGTGCCAGCCCTTCCATCCAGGCCTTTCCTCAGCTTGTCCCCAGCTCTGGGCTTTGTCTCCCACATCAGAGAAACCAACACCACATCCTTGTGTTTCTCAGACCAGATCGATGCTGAGAATATGCAGTGCCCAGCACCAGCCTCTGCACTGTCCATGATGCTGAGAAGCCGAGGGCTAGTTGAAGTTGTAGAAGGGCCACTTATAGGCAGGGATACGGAGCCACCCTGTCCTCCTTCCCTACTCAGCAGTGCTGAGCACCTGGCCAGGAGAATGGGGAGAGGGCAGCTCATGTCTCTGACACGAACACTGGAGCCCCAAGGAGCCCCAAGGAGAACCAGGTGCCTTCCTGATATCTCACAGCCAAGTTGGGGACAAGGAATGAATCAGGAAGCTCAGTAAATTTGGGTTCACATCCAGGATGCAGAGGAGGGAGGAACCCCTGAGTTGTCGGTGACTCAGCAGTCTTGCTGACATTGCATTAACGAGTGAGGGGAGGTGTGTGTGTTTGTGATGAGGGTCAGCAGGCAGATCCAGCAGCTTTTCCAAAACATGTGTTAGCATGGCCTTCCCTTGAATGTGCTGTTCCTGGGGGCTCTCCCTGCAGGCACACCCAAGGCATCAGAGACTATTTTGATCCAAAACAGAACTTCAGTTATTACAGGCTAAACCAAACCTTGTGCCAGTGTTGGCTTGAGCTGTCAGTCAAGCACTGAGGTGTGTCCCAACAGGAATCCTCCTCTGGGATGGAGTTTGGGATTTGGGGGTCTCTCCAGTCCCCAGCTGCGATCCTGGTGTCGTTTATAAGCGCTCATAAAGGGCAGCCTGGGGCTCCCTCCCACATTTGTGCATGTTTCTTCCTGCAGATGGAAAGCCCATTTCCACAGATGTGATTGTGCTGGGCAGGACCAATCTCCTCATTCCCTCCAGCCAGCCCCATCACTCCGGGGTGTACGTCTGCCGGGCCAACAAACCCCAAACCAGGCAGTTCGTTACCGCCGCCGCCGAGCTCCGGGTCCTTGGTGAGTAGAGAGCAGGGAAACACTCCAGGTAGAAATGCTGACCAGGTAGCTGTGGATTGTGTGGATCAACATCCAGGAGATCCCCAAGGAGCTGCGTTTGTGGCCTGCGCTGGGTAAGATGGGAGCCAGGTTAGAGCCAGGAGGCCCTGGATTGGGATAGCTCTCAGTGGGAGTGTCACCTCTTTAACTTGGGGTTTAGTTCCTGCTATTTACTGAACCGTTTTATGCCTTATTCTTGTTCTCCAGGGTTCTCCCATGGAAATCTCTATCAGCAATTAACTTTCAGTATCGTGGAAGCCAACAGGGAGAACAGCCTAGGATCAGGGAATGCAGCACATGATTGATACAGAATTTATTTTTCCTTTTGGACAGAGTCTAAATTAAGCCTCTAGAGTCTGCCTGGCAAATCCTATCTTGTAAGCAAAGCTGCTGCTGAATAAAACATAGCACTGAGTGGGGAGGAGAAGGGATTTGTCTGCTATCTTTTCCTCCTCCTTCCCGCATTAATTTGCTCTCTCTCCTCCCAGCGACTCCCAGCATCTCCCAGGCTCCTGAAACCATCTCCCGCACCCGAGCCAGCACGGCCAGGTTTGTGTGCAAGGCGGAGGGGGAGCCAGCCCCCACCATCCACTGGCTGAAGAACGGGGAGCCCATCCTGTCCAACGGGCGGGTGAAGGTGCAGAGCAGCGGGAGCCTGGTCATCAACCAGATCGGCCTGGAGGACGCCGGCTACTACCAGTGCGTGGCTGAGAACAGCCTGGGCACGGCCTGTGCCACGGCCAAGCTCTCGGTGATCGTGCGGGAGGGTTTGCCCAGCGCTCCCAAGAAGGTGTCGGCCGTGTCCCTCTCCAGCACCACAGTGCTCGTGTCCTGGGAGCGCCCGGAGCACAACAGCGAGCAGATCATCGGCTTCTCCTTGCACTACCAGCGGGCTGTGGGTGGGTGTCACTGCCTGTGACCTCGTTAAAGGCACAAGGCACAGGTTGACTTTCCTTCCCAGCAATTCCAGTTGGTTTAGCTCTTATCATTGCAGATAAAGGAGTTTTCTCTTGGAGTCAGCACCAGCCTGTGGCAGTGCCTGCGGATTAGCCAACATGTTCTGACTTGTTGAATGGCAGTAGCATGTCCACATAGCTGAGTTGTCTGGATTCTTATGGTACCAGGCACTTCTGATTTTATACACAATGATTTTATATGCAAAGGCTGTGAATGCTAATGGAGATATTAACCAGCTACATTGTGTACAAGGGCAATCACTAAATTGTTCACACCCAGAATCTAAAGTGAGGTACTTGGGTCTCTTGGCGTTTGTCTTCCCCAAGAGCCAGCAAGCCAATACTCTTGCTGAACTGCTGCCAGAACTCCTCTGGAAATTAAACTGGTATCTGCAGATGCCTCAGCATGGAGCTCGAGTCAAAATGGAGATATTAACATTGAGGCATTGGATGTTTCTGCTCAAAGAACTTATGTAAGAGGTGGGGCTTGTGCAGGTGCTGGGGGAATTGGAGAATACATTGATTTTTAAAGTGTATTTACACTGTGGACCTTGTGAGTTAAGTGATTTTTTTTTTAAGAGTGTCTTGGCAGTTCACTGACCTGCTGATCAGTGTTTCCTTGGCTCCAGGAACAGATAACGTGGAATACCAGTTTGCTGTCAATAATGACACCACTGAGCTGCAAGTCAAGGACCTGGAACCCAATACCAACTATGTCTTCTACGTGGTCGCATATTCCCAGCTCGGAGCCAGCCGGACATCCTCTTCCATCATTGTCCAGACCCTGGAAGATGGTGCGTTGAGTTAGATGGGAACTGGTGCCTAAAAAATATTCCTGGCAGTAGCAGCTCCTAGAAACCCAAACCTGCACCTTGGTCTGATCATCACTTGGGTGATTAAGGGCATGAAAATGTCCTGGCTGACACTGGGGCCCATGAGAATCCTTTGGGAACTGCAGTCAGCTCCTCAAGGCTTTCACCGAGCTCATATGATATTGCTCCAGGCTTGACTCTGGGCCAAACTTGATTTCAACTCAGAAGAAACATCTATTGCAATTTGTAAGGATGGGAGCAGCCTTGAGGTCAGATCCCTTAAGAGCCAGTAGTTTGTGTTGATTTTGCCATTTATCACGTAGCATTTTGTGAGCAGTAGAGGCAGAGTGCCAGGAGGACAGCTGCCCAACGGGAGGACATGCACAGCTTTCCACAGGCTGCAGGACAGAGGCAAACAGTGATGGTTTTGGCAGACCTCATGTGCTTTATGTGCTTTTAATGCTCCCGACAGTGACCTGCGTGGTCCCGTGTGTGTGTATGTGTGTCTGAAGCCTGAAAGGCTGAGTTGAAAGCATGAAAGCTGCCTGCAGCCAGAGCTGTTGTTCTTGAGGGAATGAGGATTCCCAGGCTGCAATCTGGATCTGTGAGCCATTTCCTTCAGTGTCTCCTTCGTGCTCCACATACAGCACAGGCTGATAGCTGGTGTGTGCCAGCCTGCCCAGTCTGCAGGGGACATGGATCCCTGGGAGCAGTGTGGCTGGGCAGACTCTGCTCAGCCTGGAAGTGTAGTAGCCCACCATCTCCCCTCCCCAGACATCCCTCGGATGCTCTGAGGGATATTGGTTCCCCTGGGGCAGACACTGTGTCACCAGCGGCTGTGGCAGGGCCAAGATCAGGTAGTGGCCTCCAGCCAACTCAGAGAGCAGGCAGAGATGTGTTGAGGTCTTGCTCTGCTCTTTGCTGACTTCTCGTGGTTGATTCCACCCAGTTCCCAGTGCTGCCCCTCAGCTGTCCCTGTCCAGCATGACTCCTGGTGACATCCGTGTGACGTGGCTGCCTCCTCCTCCAGAGCTGAGCAACGGCAAGATAACCAAGTACAAGATCGACTACTGCACCCTCAAGGAAGGTGAGGGGAGCACCATCTGCGGGGTTGAGTCCTCTGCTCCGGGGGTGTTCACAGTGTGTCATGGGGAGGGGAGGAGGTGCAAGGCTGGAAATGGGGGGACCCCTCTTACCCAAGGCAGAGCAGCTCTCTTGTAGCCTGGCCCTGCTGGTCATGGCAATGCCCTGTGCTACCTCACACGACTTCAAGGTGCCTTTTCCTGTGACTGTGGAGGAGCTGTGTCCCCAGGGGAACGGCCTGACCCATGTTTGTGCTGCTCCAGGAATGTCTGCATAGGCAACCTTTCACTGCCATCTGAACTGTGTGTTTTGGGGGAAGAGCTTTATGCTCCTTGGGGACAAGGGGTAAATGCTTTCACTTTCTTTAAAATGGATTCTAATCAAAGTGATCCCTGTGGAAAAAAACCAAAAACACAAGTAATCCTGTCCAGGCTGTGTTGCTCTATTGCTGAGTGTTTTCCAGCAGCGTTCAGCAGGGATGGTAACATTTACCTACACTGGATGTGGCTGTTCCAATTCCATGTGTGCTTGCTTTGCAAATCCTTCTGGGTATTTGCTCTTATAACCGTCAAAGCTCTGCAGCTTCTCACTTCCCAGGGTCATGATTCTTCCTGAGAGAAGGATGAGGAGTGTGAGGTGCTGGACGTGTTCCCATGTATTTGAACTGGGTTAGTAGTCTGTGCTGTGATTCCTGGCTCTTGTTCTTTGCCTTGAGCCTGCACATGGCTCTGTGGCATTGTAAAACCTTGGAAACACTTGCAATCCAGGGATCACACTCAGCAATACTCTGTTACATGGCAGGGACAGCACTCCCGGCTGAGTTAATGCCCGGGGAAGCTGAAATTAAGACCTCTGCATTCTCCAAACAGGCAACATGAATCTTCAGCAAGACCAGTTAGTTGTTACAGTGAAAATCCCAGGCCATTCTCAGTTTAAATTTCCTGTTATCCCCCTTATGAACTTGGGTGGGCTGAAGAGGGTGTGATAAAACCTTCGTCTGGCTTGGGTGAAGGTGTGAATTTTGCAGAAAGCAGGGCTGCTGGACAGTTCTGGTTCAAATTAAGGTGAAGATTTAAATACAGCAGTGAGAAGCACTGGAACATACCATCAGCTCCCATCAGCTGTGCTCATGTTCTGCCATCATGTCAGCAGCAGGGTTTCTGACAGCTCCCTCCGGGCAGGCTCCGTGTGCTGAAGGCAACCTGCAGTTTGGAATGTGATGAAGGGAGTTGTCAGTCAGGATATCAACTCTGCCCAGCCTTCAGTTCTGGTTTTTCTTGGTGGTGTGAGATTGCACTAGGCGAAACCAAGCCAGCCCAGGGCGTTCAGACCACGTGGGGCAGCGAGGCTTGCGGCTGCTCAGCTGTACTTCCCTTTGGCTGGGAAATCCCTTTTTTCAGTGGTGTCCCCTTGGTTCCAGCAGATCAGGTCACCTCCATCGAGGTGGGTGGAAATGAGACCCAGATCACGCTCTACTCGCTCCATCCCAACAAAGTGTACAAAGTCCGGATCGCAGCCAGCACCAGTGTGGGATACGGGGCCCCCTCCGAGTGGACCCAGCACCGGACTCCTGACAGAGACAACCAGACACACGGTAGGAGCCTGGGAATGCCTGGGATTTGGGGCAGGGTGTGGGGAACTTTAGGCATTGTCAGAGATTCTTGCTTTGCTTTGGGAATTACAACCATTGGTTTTGGTTAGACCAAAGTGCTCACCTTTATCTCGCTGCTCAGGAGCCCCTGTACTTTCCCTGCTTGCCTGGGCAGTGGGTCTTTCCTCCCTCCATATGCAGCTGGGAAAATTCTTAAAAAAGAAAGAAAGAAACAAACAAAACCCCAGACCCCAATGTTACAGCACTTGGGAGAGAATAGACAATTCTACCAGGCAGAGCTGAGCCCACACCAGACTCCAGCAGTGGTTAAAGACGGGAATATCTCAGAGAAACCCCCATAGTGGCTTTGTGACATGGTTGTATCACCCAGCTGGAAATGTAACTGTCCCACTCTCCACTGTCAGGCAGTGGAGACATTCCACTCAGCACAGCCTTTCCTCACATCTCTCCCTCGCTACTGAGGACAGGGAGGATTCAGTAGAGCAGGGAAATGGAGACAAGTGGCTGAACATTTTTCTCCTGTTCTTTTTCTCAGTTCCATTTGCCCCAACGGAATTAAAAGTCCGAGCGAAGATGGAGTCTCTCCTGATAACGTGGCAGCCCCCAGCCAACCATGCCCAGATATCTGGCTACAAGCTCTACTACCGAGAAGTGGGCCCAGAGGAGTCCAGCAACGAGAGCCCCTTGGATGGTGCTGAAGATGAGAGCTGGGACGTAGGACCCATAAAACTCAAGAAGAAAGTGAAGCAGTACGAGCTGACTCGACTAGGTTAGCTGGTTTCATCTTCCTAGCAGTTGGTGTGGAAACCCAGGGCCTGTCCCTTGCACTTTGCAGCATCCCAGGGTGCTCCCAGGAGGCTCAGTTGTTTGCTTGGCTGGAGATACACAGGGCCAGGGCCATGTGGGCTGTTCTAAGAGCACTCCAAATCCTTTCTGGAGCGGGGCTCTTGGGGCTTATTCTGAGCAGAGTTTAAGCCACAGAAATTTCTGATGCCAGTGTAGCAGGGCTTGTATTTTTAACCAAGGGTTACCAATATACTTAGTATATGCTAATAAGTGGTTCTTAATCAATTAGTGTTTTTAATGTATCACTGTAAAGAGTGGCAAGATTGAAATCTCCTGTCAGGACAATGATCTCTCCTTCCCTTTGTGTTTCTAAGGAGCTCCATAATTGCATCCTGTTTGAAATCTCTCTGTATTACAATGCAGAGATGGGATAATTCACAGCATGCTAATTTTGGGCCAACATTCTCCTCCACCTCCCCCATAAGGGAAAAGGGATGGAAGAGTGAGTGTCCATGGTTGGAGAACATCTGCACAGCAGTCAGATCTGCCTGCCTGGGTCACTGCGCTCGGAGTTCCCCATAAGGAGTTGTGTCCCTAACATCTGATTGTATTAATTAATTGATTTGCCTGCTGATACAGGATGGAGAGGGAGAGGGGAGAGTCATGGAAGATGAAAGTGGAGTTGTTCTGTGCCCCACTTCATGCTTCATCCCTGTTTCTACCCAGTGAGCTGAGCCTGCAGGGTGCATGTGTGGTGTGCTGATTCATCTTACACTTGTGGCGTATTTATTATGCACTGTGGGAAGGCCAGGCTGCAGCACCTGGAAGGGCTGGTTGTGCCACCACTAAGTGGGTTCCCAGCTCTGCCACAGCCATCTTGCCACTGAGAGGGTGTTAGTGATGAGCTTCTCTGAAGAACTTTGGTCTATTGCACTGGGGGAACCACATGTGAACATCATCACGCGCTGCTCTAACCGCTGGCAAGGCAGACAGCGGAGGGGCTCGGAGTGGGCTGAATTGGTTCCAAATGCTCTGGCACGGTGATGCTGAGAGGGCTGCTTGTTCTCCTGTAATTACTTCCTTAAATTTGGGCATCCGTCAAGCCCTAATGGTTTCCTTATGACCTGGCGGTTGTGTGTCGTCTATTGCTGTGTCAGGAATGGAGTCTCGGGTTTCTCCCCGCCATGGATGTTCCCTTTTCTCCCCTTGTGCTGTTGAATGATGTGCTCCTGCACGTGTCCAATAAAGGAAAGGTCAGGAATCTGGCTGTGCTGAGGAAGGCAGGGAGTCTGGATATGAAACGAGGAGGAGTGGTTGGGATTTAGAAGGGTTTAGTTTTATGGTGCAGAGCTACCCTGTGCAGGTACTTAGGTTTGTGTCTTGTAGGCAGAGCTGGTAGTGGTCTCAGGAAGGGTTGGCAGCCCTAACGTGATCTGTATGTGGGCTGATGGAAAATCAGCTGGAGGGATTTCCCAGCTCATGGATGTCTGCCAGGGAAGCGCAGCACTGGAAACCTCTTCTATGATTCCCCTGTAAAACCAAAGAAAATACCCAACACTGTGTCTTGGGAGTACCTACAACAATCATCAAGTCCAACTGCTTGACTGCTGACCAAAAGTTAGAGCAGATTCTGTCTAAATGCCTTTTAAACACTGACAGGCATGGGCATCGACCACCTCTCTAGGAAGCCTGTTCCAGTGTTAGAAATGGTGTCAGGAAATCCCAGGCTGGGCACTGGGAAAACCAGGCTGTGGGTCAGACATGGTCACATACCATGTCAGTGCAGGCAAGGTCCAGCACAGTGCCTACATGTCCCCTGACTGAAGGCAGCACTCTGCCCCTTATCCTGGTTTGAGGTGTGGCCTGAAGGACAAAACTCCTGTCCCACTCCTTGTTTCTGCATAGCTCCTGATTGTCCTTGGTTTTTTTTTCCAGGAGCACAGCAGGGCAAGAAAGGAAGCACTTTGTGGGGTGAGAGCTCCCTTCAAGGCACACCCCAGGCAGAGGTGGATGAGGGTGAGAAACAGCTTTGGCCAGAGCTTCTGGAGCACAGTTACTGTTACTACCATCTCATGCTAATCTCTGGAGCAAACTGTGCCTCTTTAGAGTGGTATCACTAATGTCACACCTTGTGTCTTGTCAGAGCAGCGTGTGCTGAAGTCCTGGTGAGAGATGGGCAGCTGTTCAAGGGCACATAAGAAATCCAGCAATTTCATGAGCCCACAAAGTCAAAAGGAAGCTGTCCTGAATCACCAGCAGGGCTTTTCCCTGAGGAATTCTTACTGATTTCCATCTTCCTCTCTGTACTGGTGTACAACTACCAGGGCCATAATTTATTCGAAAAATAAATGGTAAGGATCTGATCCTGTCTTCCACATTCCTATGAAGGAAGACTGCATTCCTCTGGGAGTCTGGAAGTTAGGGTATTTTCCCACTTAAAGGAAAGTATGGCTGGCACCTGGCCAGTATGAGCACCTTGAAATGCTGAGTGAAGCAACATATTTAGCATATTGGATATATTATGCAGTCATTCAGATTAGTGATTTGAAATGATCTGGACTAGATTATTCTGCTTATATTTAATGTATGATGGAATGCAGTGAAATACATCTGTTTTCATGCTGCCTACTAGCTTCTTGACAGCTTGATAGAGCTTTATGTCTGTCTGTTCTAAGAGCTTGAACATCTGGGCCTGTGTATAAAAATTGAAGCCAAGCCTCTGACTGAGAAATCCAAAATACCCCTATTTTCAGGATGTGAAGTGCTCAATCTTGTAGTTGAGCTCCCCTGGCTTCATGTGTAAGTGGCTGCTGTGTCCATCCTGCCCAGGGATGGAGATGGAGGAGTTGTCCTTTCCTTCACTTCATTCCCCAACAGGAGCTTCCCACAGCTGCATCACATCTGTGAGCTCTTCTTCATCCTTTGGATCACATCATCCACAAAGAGCTCGTGTCCTAGCAAAGCCCAGCCAAAGGCTGGGGCAGGAGGAGGAGTGTCTGTGCTGGTGAGAGACGGGCTGTGGGGCTCTTTGTTCCAGCCCTTTGGAAGTTGAGTGCCCTTTGGTCTCATCCCCCTTGTGTGGGTTTGAAACATTTTTTCTGTGGCTGGAGAGTGTGGAAATGCAGATCAGCCTGTCTTGGAGGCAGACAAAACTCTGTTTGCTTTTGGGATTCTTTAGGGAAGAAAAATGTGGCTGAACTGTTTTTATATTCTGAGCGCGAACGTGTGTTGTGGAGCAGAGAAAGCCTTTGGTAATTGGTACCATCAGCCTCTGGAAGCGTAATCAGGGCAGTAATAATAAAATTGGCATCAATAGGAAAGGCTTTATTCTGCTTACGTTGTCTGGCAAAGAGAGCAGTGATCTATGAGGGCAGGGAATGAAGAGGCATGTCCCAAATTAACAAACTTCATCAATGCACTGCAGCCAAGGCAACCAAAGGCAGTGTGGACTGCTCTGGCTGGGCTCCTGAAGGAGCGGCTGCTGCAGGGAGTGTCTTCTTTGAGAACTTTATATCTCCCAAGTTGTTTCCTTGATTAAACATCTCCATTAAAAAAAACCTAGGATGTTACAGCAGAAGAGTATTTCAGCTGATGAAAGGCTGGAGGAAAAAGAAGTGAATTTTGGACCTCACTGCTGGGACACAGAGCACCCTGTCCAGCAGCTCAGTTTGGGTCCAAGTGTGAGATTCCCCACAGTTCAAGGCTCTCTGATGGGAGGAGTGTGTAATGAGGCCCCTCGGGTTTCTGGTGCGGGTTTTCTGTGCACTGTTGCTTCTCTAATTGCAAATCAAGAAACTGCAGTGGAGTCAAAATAGTCACAATACAACAAAAGCTGCCAGTGACTTAACAGGGCGTGTGAGGACTCGCTGGAAGGAAGATCCTCACAGCAGTGGGTAAATCAGAAAGAACCATGGAAATGGGAGGTGCATTTGGGAGAGGAGAGAACATCCTCACTCCTCAAGAATAAGCAGTGCAGTGCAGTCTCCTCCATGGGGGAGAGAGGAGTCGCTGTGCACATTTCTTTAGCAGTTTGCAAGGGAGAAAGATCAGGAGATCTTGAGATGATGTGCTACAAACTAGGACACTGGTTAACCCTTGGGGGCTGGGGCAAGTCCATTTCCTGCTGATAATTTCTGTAAAAAGTAAGGGGAGAACCAGAGAGCAGCTGTGCTGATGCGTGCACCAGCTGTGAGACAGTGTTTGTATGTGGGAAGCCTGTAAGTGGAAGGGGGACTCCCTGCTGTAATTTATGTATTAGGTGATATTTATTCAGGTATTAGTTAATAAAAACATATTTATTATGTTCAGGCTACTTTCTTGGATGGTGAGAAAAGCTGGTCTGATCAAAGAAAACATGTCTAACTGGGGGGGATTGGTGACAAAAATAACCCCAGACAAACCCTGATTGATTTTTTTCCAGCTCCTGGGAAACTCTACGAGGTGAAGCTGGTGGCATTCAACAAGCACGAGGATGGTTATGCAGCTGTTTGGAAGGGCAAAACAGAGAAGGCACCAGCGACAGCAGTAGGTGAGCAATCCTCTTTGTTGTCTTTCTCCTCTGCTTGGCACGTGGCTTCAAAGGAAGGGTAGGGAGAAAGCTACAGAAGATGAGCTTCAGGAAGGACAATATCAAAATGGGGAAGGTCCCAATATAAGGCAACTTCCACCGACAGTCATTGCAAAATGCATTGGAGGAATTGGGAAGGAGAGAAAGGAGCAAAATATCCCCCTTCTCATTTGGGTTGTTCTTACGCTGCGTGTAAGGTTTGCGCCACCCCCAACCGAAGGGGAGGAGGAGAGTTTTGGGATGCGTGATGGGGAAATTACTGTCATGTACATCTCCACATCTCTTTTCTTTTTGTTTTGCACCACAGATCCCCCTGTGCAGAAGGGTCCTCCTCTGCCTCCAGTCCAAGTCTATGCAGAGTCCAACAGCTCGACTTCCATATGGCTCAGGTGGAAGAAGCCTGACTTCACAACAGTCAAAATTGTCAACTACACCGTGCGCTTCAGCCCCTGGGGCCTGAAGAATGCCTCTCTTGTGACATACTACACCAGGTAAAGAGGGATGCCAAGGGTTCATCTGCCTTGGATTGCTCATGTCAGCAACGAACACAGGGCAGGAGCAACCTGCATGGAATTTCCAGTACTTAGGAAAATCCTGGGTGCTGGAACATCTGCCGTGGTCACAGATAATGTTCAGAACTGCTGAGATGTTGCAGTGGGGCTTGTCTTTGACTTGAATACCAAGGAATCATTTACTGGTCTCTGCATCTTTTTTGCTTTGTTTGGACCTTACACACTTGTTCCTCTATTAACAACATGGCTGGGTGCAGTTATGGCCAGTCTCAAAGCATTCATGATTTGTGAGATGGTCCTCACAAGTTTGGTTTATAAATTGCTAGAGTTGAAGCAGTTACAATAATTTAGGGATGCATTTTTCATCTGGATTCCTGTGCAGATTTTCAGCGTCTAACCAGGATATTTTCAGGCTTTTCCATGCAAGTACATCAGAAATGGGCCTGGAGGCTGGGAACTGCTTTGCTCTGCACTTGGGACCTGAATGTTCTTGCACTCACATGGCTGCAGGAGACAAAGTTTTGGGTGAAAAACCAAATACTGTAAGAATTAGGATAACATCTTAGAGTGATCCTGGTAAGGTGTCAAGGTGACATGGGGGAACCATCAGGTGTTCATGACCTTGTGCTGTGTCCTCTCTCACCAGCTCTGACGAAGACATTCTCATCAGTGGGCTGAAGCCCTACACCAGGTATGAGTTTGCCGTGCAGTCCAACGGCGTCGGCATCGACGGCCCCTTCGGCAGCGTGGTGGAGCGCTTCACCCTTCCCGACCGTGAGTAGTGATGGGAACTGAGCCCTGACTTATCCTGCTTTTCCCCGAACCTCTGTCAGTTCCCTCCTGATGTACCCTGAGAGATGTGGTCTCAGACCCCCTCTGAGCTCTGATGTCCCTGGGGGCGAAAGCTCTCCCCCTCTTCCTGCTGCTCAGGATGGGTCTTGTCTCTGCCAGGCCCCTCCACTCCCCCGTCTGACCTGCGGCTGCACCCGCTCAACCCCTACGCCGTGCAGGTGCACTGGTGCCCGCCCGTGGAGCCCAACGGCATCATTGTGGAGTATCTCATCCTGTACAACGCCAACAACACGCAGCCAGATGACATGTGGACCTTGCTGACGCGAGAAGGTGAGCCTCCTCCAGGTGCTGCAGTACCCCACCACTCCTCCTCCTGCCTCCTTCCCTGCCTCTGGAGCGCTGGTCGCTCAGTCCTGCTGCCCTGATTTTTGCCTCACCAAATATTGAAGAGCTCCTGGTGCCAGCTTTCCTGGAGCGCCTGCTGGGCCTTGCTCCTGATCACATCAGAGAGTCCAGGGACACGACTACTGAGAGACATGAAATCAAACATGTCTAGGGCTGAAACAGCCATTGTCACCCAGGAAACATCCCGCAGATACAGGCTGGCAGTCAGTAATTCCTAGAAAAACGTGTGCCAGCAGCACCATGTGCAGTCTGTATCATCACCTCTGCAAGTAGCAAGTTCATTAATACTGAAGAGGTGTATGAAATGCCTCTTGGAGCTCATGTCACAAAATCCGTCACTTCTAAGGATCCAAGCAGAATTTTGTTGCTGCTTTGCTGCAGCCTCTGAATGCTCTTGAAACTGCACATTTTAAATTTCTTTTGACTTGCTTTTGGTCAGGAAATATCTTCAGCACTGAAGTGCATGGCCTGGAAAGTGATACAAGATACTTTTTCAAGATGGGAGCAAAGACAGTTGTGGGATCCGGTCCCTATTCCAACGTTAAGGATGTGCACACCCTCCGGGAGAAGTTGTCTGGTATGAATTCCCCCCTTGTCCCAGGGCAGGAAGTGAGAGCTGTGTTGCTGAAGGCCATGATTTGTCAGCAGTGACATTTCTGATTGCCAAGCCATTGCCTGATGTCACTGTGTAGGATGTGAGATATAATTCTGTGTAGGCCAGAGCAGAGGATCACAGCAGAGCCCTGAGATGTGCAGCTCCAGAACCCATCCCACAACCAAACTTCATCCCTCTTCCCCATCCCAGTTCCTCTGGAAGGGCACGTGCAACCTTTCTGTAGTGTGAGATTAATTAATGTGCACAGATGCCAGTTTGCCTTAAGCTGCTCTAAATTATCACTGCCAAGGAATCTTCCTCCTCTATGTGTATAGGATCATAGAACCATGGAATAGTTCGGGTTGGAAGGGAATTTTAAAGGCATGGCCTGTTGGGTGTAGTACAGCTGGTGCTTCTTTGAACTGAGAGACTTGTACCTTCTTCCTGCTAGCAGCTGAAATACTGAAATAGTGTATCCATCCTTCCTTCCCCTCCTAGATGTCCTGGATATTCACTCTGTCACAGGGATCATCGTGGGGGTCTGCCTGGGGCTGCTCTGCATCCTCTTCTGCATGTGTGCCAGCTTCCGGAACAGCAAGCACAGGTGGGTGTCACCTCACCTGGGCAGGAGGGAAAGGAGGCTGCTGTGGAAGGAGACGAATACACTGGAAGCTGCATCCCCTGTCCAGCTGTGCTGCCTGGGATGCAGTGTAGGACACAGTTAATGCACAGATCGAATCTTGGGAGTTCTGGCTGGATAAGGAGCATATTTAGTATAATCTTTTCACTGATTTATTTTCTCAGTAGCTTCTCTTCAATTTGTATTCTTAGACTAGTAGGGGTTTTTTTCAGAGAAAGAAAAAGCCCCAAGAAAATGGAAGAACTGGATTATTACCTGTGTCTGTTAGTGTGGGCAGTATTTTGCTTCTGAGGTTGGACAGCTCTAAGGATGTTTGGAAATGGTTTGTTAACTTCCAGCTGGGAAAATAATGAAAGACTTCCCAGTGAGTGACAGGCTGGTTTAAGGAGGATTGGACGCAGCCCAAAGCCCCTTGCTATCCCAGGGGTCTGAATCCAGCCACAAGCATGTGGAAAGACCATGAGCAGAAAACAGCTCAGTTGTTGAGAAGAGCTCTGAGCTTACAGCAGATCTCAGGACTAGGGACAGGCAGCTTCTGGAGTCTTGTCCTAATGTGGCCACTGAACTTTCCTGTCCTGTTACATCTCTTACCTGTAAAGCAGAGGTGACAGGAGTGACGCAGCTCCCCATGGGCCAGGGTTAGTGAGTGTCCTGCTCCAGTGCTGGGACTCGTGGTGTCTGATGGCCTTAGGATCTGCAGGGAGAGCTTTGCATCCCTCACTGGGATTTGTCTGAGCTTTGGGATTAGCAAAGGTGGTGGAGATGCATCTGCAGTGAAAGCTGTTACAGTGGGATGTGGACAGAGGATCCCCTTCCTCTAGAGGGGCAGGGCAGGGCTTGGGCCGTGGGCTTCCACAAGGACCAGCTGAGATGTCAACTCTTGCTTGTTTTCCCTCAGGGAGGCCCTGCCAGGCCTGGATTCCCAGGCTGCTGGCAACCACACGTACTACCACCGGAACAGGCAGGGGATGGCTGCTCCCAGTGCCACCCTGGACTCACATGAGCTCGAGTCCCTCATGTCCCCACTCCCAGAGGATGCACCCGTGCCCCTGGGGGACATCACAGAGCTGACAGAGGTGCACAGCCTCATCCACACGAGCCTCCCCGAGGACGTTGTCCATGGGAAGAGGAAGGTAAGGACACATATGCACATGGCCACTGGGCTCCCACCCTGGGCAAGAGCCTTTGTTTGGTGTGTGGTGCTGGGAAGCCAGGGTTGGATCCTGTCCTGGCTCTGCAGTGCTGGCAGAGCTGGTGCTGAGCAGCCACGCATTCCCCTCTCTGTAAAACTGACTGGCTCAGCCTTGGCTGTCAGATCTAATTTGGGATCCCTGTGCCATCTACTACTGCTTTTCACTTCCTGAGACAGTGATCCCTCATCCCAAGAAACTGCTGCCAAACTTGGTGCTGCAGAAAGCTGCACTTTTCCTGTTGCTGTGCCATGTGGATGGTGTGAGGAAATGTGATGGCTAGAGCAGACACTCAGCCTTTTGCTTGGAGTAAAAGGAGCTCTGTCCATGAAGAGTGTATCCACTGCAATGCCCTAGAAGATAAACAAGAGGTGAAACTGTGGGTTTTTTGTGAACCTTATTTTTTAAGTAGTTTTTTCCGGCCCTGCTTGGTTTGCCTGACATTGCATTGTCTTTCATTCCTCCCTGCCCATTTTGTCTTTCAAGCTTGCCTGAAACATTTCATTCCATTAGGGAACCTTTAATTGGCCTAATTTAGTTAATCTGTTTATGTCTCTCTTTGTAGCCCTGGGAGAGCATGTAAAGTAATTAGGAGGTTCAGTAACACAAATGTGTTGTGAGCACGTGGGATTTCACGTTTGCATCAGCGATGTGCTCATGGGTCACTGGAGGGAAGGTGGGTTCAGGTACCCGGCTGACCACGAGTCCTCTCCTGGCTGTGAGAGGCAGTGCAGGTGTGATCTTTTGGAACCTCAAAGTCTTCTGCTGAGCTAGAAGACATCTTTAGTATCCCTGGGAGCTGAAGCCGTGCCTGTGGCCATCCCCGCCTGCCGTGTCAGATCAATGCTCAGCTGAAGGAGAGACTGTTTGTTTGCAGCCAAGCCACATCCAGGGATTGTGGTGGAATGTAGCTGCCTGTCTGGATCCAAGCCGAAGAGTGTGAGGAATTTCCTACAGCTCTTTCTGTTAAATAAGGAACAAATGTTTTCAGGGATAGGGACTTACCCTTGAGAACAGGTCGGGGTGGGGGGAAGTTCCCTTCTTTGTGAGGCCTTTCTGGGGGCAGCATATCCAGATCTCTCTTCCAAAGCAGCAATCCTGTCTGCAGGGGTTTAAACCAAGATGTGAATGTGTACAGAGCAGGGGCTGGAGAGGGCAGTGCCAAGGCCTGGCTGCTCAGGGCTCAGCCTGAGAGCTGGGGCCCTCAGAAGCTGCCAGTGACCAGCAGTGAGTTATGGCCAGAGACCAGAGCTTTGGGGAGAGGGACAGTTCTGGCTGTAGGATCTGTGCCTTCATAATTGGATGGGAAAAGGCTACCGTGAGTTAAATTCACTGAGGTTTGTTTTTTTTTTTATGGATGTGGATAGGCAAGCAAGGGTCACTGGGAAGCAGCTGCAGGCTGGAGAGCAGGGTTGTCACCAATGCCGAGCAGGGAGGGTGACCTGGCAGGTGGTGTGGTGGCCGGAAGCAACAGGCTGTTGTTGCTGGGAGTGGGCACTGGAGGGAGATGTGCTCCCACGCAGGAGACCCCGCTCCCTCCACTGCCCGGCTCCTGCTGGAAGTGTCACCTGAGCACGCTGCATCCTGTCTGTACTCTGTATAATGTACAGAGTATAATCAAGGGTGAAAAGACTCAGAAACACATTTATGCTGCAGTTGCCAAGAGCCCTATGTCTGGAGGGTCTGTGATGTTCCCTGGCTGGGTGGTCAAGGAGTTGGGCAGTTCTCCTCTCATGGCTGGAGCAGTGCACACTTGCCTGGTGCCCACAACAATGTAAATCAGGTCTGAGCAGCTGAGAGTGTGTGCATCTCCCTACTTGTACACAAAGTGCCTCTAGTCAAGTCCCTGGAGTGGGTGTGGGTTCCTTGGGTTGTCTTGTGTGCTGCAAATAGCTCCCTCCAGCAGCCATTGAGTCTGGAAACCCCCAGGGACCCTGCCTGGAACAGTGTGTTGTGGGAGCTTTGCTCCCTGCAGTGACCAGCTGCCTTTGTTGCCTTCTCTTTTCTTCTCTCATGCTGTGTGTGGTTAGGGCTGTGAAAATCCATGGCAAGGAATATGATGGAGCCACAGAAAAGAGAAAATCCATGTGGAAGGAAATTCCTGGTCCAACCTGGCAAGGGGAAACTCCCCAGGGTGCTTTAGGTTGGATAGTATGACTGGCAGTCTTAGACAAAAAAGAGAGGAAGTGAGAAATGTCGGAAGGATCCCTTAAATGACAGTGTATCGTGTCACCACAGAGCTCAGGATGTTGGCTGGGACGGACTCTTGGTGCAGTGCTGCTGCCACTGCTGGGCAGGTTTGTGTGGCTGTGACCTCCAGTTGCCTCCTTGTCTCTCTGTCCTCAGGTTACGCTCCCAGGTGTGTTGTCTGGATGGCACTTGCCATTGGTGGTGGCAGTGATTGCTGCTCTGTGTCTGCAGGCTGCTCACATCCTGGCTTTTACTTGGCATTCCATGGATTATTCTTTCTTGGTTTTATTCTTGTGGCAGCCCGAGATTCCAATGGAGGTTGGAGGCTCCATGTTAGGAGGTGTACAGACACAAAGAAGGGACTGTCCCCATGCCATAAGGAGTCAGAAGTGAGCAAATGTCACTTTGCAGGTGTGAGGCCGAAGGGCAGAAAGTCTTTAAAAACACTGAGATTGGAACAGACTTCTGCAAAGAATTTCAGGAAAGGGTTTTGAGATGTCCCTTTGGTTGTTTTCAAGATCACCAGTCCCTTCGAACTTACGGCCGTGATTCCTCTTGAGCTGTTGCACATACTGCTGGGGGTGCAGGACGGTGCAAGTGGAAGGTGGGACAGTCGCAGAGGAGTTTCCTGGCCCCCTGTGTCCCTGCCTGCAGGACAAGAAGGTGCTACTGCAGCCGAGCTGTCAGCACAGGGCCCCTCTGGATGCTGGCAGCTCCATTGGGCAGGAGAACACAGCCATTTAGTGGCCCATTTTCCTTCCTTTCTGTGTGTTTCCCAGTGGTCACAAGGAAGGATTTGTAAAGACAGTGACAAGTGATTTTCCTCTCTTACTGTCTTCCCCTTGCAAGTGACCTCTCCCTGATGCCCTGGGTATCCCCGTTAGAACTGACACCATGGAGCACAGGCTGTGGGGATGCAGCTCTGTCTCCCCTGACAGATGGACTGAGGATGATAAAATGGCTCCACTCCAGACAGCTCTGTCACTGCTGCTTGTGGGCCAAGCAATTTAGGGGGTGGGGGAGAATGTTAAAAAGCATCTGCTTTCCGTGGAAGACTTCAGCTTTTCATTGAGTGAAGCCAAACCCAAGCGTTTTGGCTTGGAAGTGTTTGCTGTTGTGCTTCTTGCAAGCTGGAACCTTCCTTGCTTGCTGCCCTGCTCCTTCCCTGAGGGCCTCCTTCCCGCAGGACTGTGTTTCCCATGAAGCATCCCTGGGACTCGGAGAGCAAAAGCTGTAACACATCAGGGAACTTGGATCTACCCGGGTTGTTTGTCATTTTCGTGTTGAAATTTTTGTGCGTGGAAAAGAAGTCCCAGTGTTTTCTGAGAAGTCTCAGATGAGAGCTGTGATCCTGGTGACAGCGAGCAGAGACTTTCCTTTATCTGCTAGGGAAGAGGTCTGTGTTCTGTTGCATCCCAGCTGTGGGCAGGGATGTTGGTATGTTTGCGTGACATGGAGCTTTCCCGCTCCCACCGGCTGTTCAGCAATCCCTTCCCTCTGCTATGACACTCTCAAAAGCTGAGCACATCTGAAATGCCCCCAGCCTTGTTTTGCACAGGACTTCAAGCTCCTTTAAATAACCATCCTCATAAAACAGGGGAGGTTTGAAGTTGAACTTTTCCTACGTGTTCATTCTCAGCTCATATATTTGCATGAAATCATGACTTGTCACTGAGAAGGTAACACGATCTAGGCATGTTTTTACCAGCCAGAGTTTCTATAAAAAGGCTAAAATGAGAAGGCTTGTTTGCTTTGATAAGGATTTAGCTGTAATGGGAATGCCTTTTATTGGAAGATGGTTTTATTAGTTTTCATTCTTGTGTTTGCAGTGAACTGACAAAGGGATTTTTCCCTTGTTAAATTAGTGTTAGACTGACACTCCTTGCTCTTTGCCTTCGTTACTCTGTTGTAAAAACCAAGAGAACATTTCCTTCCATCAGCCACTCACTAGCCTCCCTCAAGTAAAGAAATCAGTATCATTTATTACACCAAAAAATGCTACTTAAAAAAGCAGCAAAGCTTTCAGGCACTCAAGATTTGTTCAGGTCTGTGATGAAAACAGACCTACAGTTAATTGCCGCTGCCCAACCTTAGAGCCTAAGCCCCAAGAGGGATTTGTTTTTTGCCTTTTTTTTCCCCTCTCAAACATAATGTGCTCGAACAACATGTGGGACACAGGCCATGTTGTGTGGCTGATGGTTTTTTCTGTTTGTTGAAAGTTGCAAACTGGTACAAAACAAGTTTGTTCTTCGTTGCAGCCAATTTCAGCCAGAGCTGAACAGGCTGTTCCCAGAGTCATCAAAACCTATGTAAACATGGCAGATTGACATTTCCGCTAACAGATGGTCCATGGGGGATTGCAGTAGAGCTGCCTGTTTCTTTCCACGTTTTTTGGTATTCACAAGATGCCTGCAAGAAGGTTTTCGAGTTTGCTCTGTGTGTGTGTCTGCGCACGATGCTCATAACTCTCTGATGGCAAATATGCATGCAGGCATCTCTAACAGGACACACATTTGGTGCATGTGTGCAGATTTGTGTAGGTTCGGCGCTGAAATCTCCAGGCAGTATTTGCTCAGTAACGTATGTTCCTTGGAAGAGGCACAGAAGCCATCAGTCAGGGATGGAGCTGCAGAAAGCCTTTCAGATGGCAGCAGAAGCAAATTGAACACGCTCCTTGAGCACTCGCATGTGGAGATATTCCTTATTGTGAGCTCTCTGTGATCGCTTGGTTGATTTCTCGCTATTAAAGCGTAGTTTAATGATTGTCCACTTAGAAAGGGAGCAATTAGGGAATGCTTTTGGCTCAGAATATATTGTTGAGGATTGCAGAGAGAGAAATGGCAAAGACACTGCCTCAAGCATCCACGTCTAAATTAGCAAATGCTTGATAGCCACTGCGCTGGGCTTGGACGTCACTGTTCTGCAGGGTGCTGGCATATCACTACTTGTCTGCTAAAAATTACATCCAGAGGCAGCAGCAAAGCTGCTGTGACTTGGGAGTGGTGCTGGGATGTAACGCAGCTCTGCCTCCCCCAAGGTGTTGAGCCCCTTGGGTGCCTGGGTGAGGGTGGACAGAGGGCTCACACACGAGCACTTCAGTGTCCTCTGGCCAGCCCTGACAGCACAAGGTAGCATTTGCTTCTTGCTAAATAGCTGACTTAGGAATGCCTGGCTCACACACAACATCTGGTCGTGTATTTCTACCTAATTTCCAGCCAGATGGACCGAGGCACAAGGAGGTCAAATGACTCACACAAGGTCAGGCTGATGTCAGAAATCTCCTCGCTGTCTCGGCTGGACTCACGCTACGTTGGCGGTTGTTGGGACAGATTTGGCCTAAGGAGCAGCCACATGTGCAGAGCAGGAACCTGGTCTTCTCCTGCTGACAGTGAGCGATAGGTGGTCAGTGGGTTTGAAGAGATGTGCTGTACATCTTCCCCCTGCACAGCCATCGTGCTCACACCACCAGTATTCCATGTGCATGTGCACACTCGCTGTTGTCAGGGCAGGATTTTCTCCTCTTCATCCCTGCATCGACCTCTTTTCTACCCAGGCAATGTGTAACATCTGTGGAACAAGGCCAGAGATAATAGGCCTGTGTGGTCCCTAAATCTGTGTGTGTGTGTGTGTATGTATGTGTAGTAGCAAGGCTGAGCTCAGGTACATGCAGGACAGCCCAATAAAATCAAAAGCTGGAAAGAAAATACTGTTCTGCCTGTGAACTAATAGTCTGAGCTGTTAAATAACTTCAGCTCTTAAAGACACACATTTCCCATACACAGAGGTGTGCATTCAACAGTTTATTGCAAGGGGAAGCTGAGAGAACCCAGAACAAATTGTGTTCAGCCCATATAATTTAATTAGATCTACAAACAAGGTAACACTGGTTGCCCAGGGGACTTAAAGCTGAGCTAAGAATTGCTTGGTGGTCTGTTGCAAAAAAAAAAAAAAATTAAATGAAATAAGGCCCCCAGTTTTGTGCCTCTGTGTTGATGGGTAATGTCAGAGTGTTCATCCAAGCCCTGGCTTGGAGAAGGAATTCTGTGCAGAGTACTATTGTCTCCAGCTCTTACTGGAGCACACAGGCCAGTGCCCACAGGTGAGGGTCCTTCTTGCTGGTGCCAAAGCAAATGCTGTGATTGTTCAGCTCCAGATTTCCCCATCCCTGTCCCTTCCCAGCTCTGCTGTATTTCTCAGTGGGCTCATTCTGCTCTGGGCTGTTTGTAGTTCTGCAGGGAGCTGATTTCAGGGGACCTCTAAATGATGTCTGTGCCATGATATACCTGTTGGTCTTGCAATTTAAGAGTCAGTGGAAAGACCCTTTTACAACCATCTGGCATCTTTTATCCCTGTACTCTGCATCAGCCCACGTACCAGCAATAAAGCCACTTCTAAGGCAGCGACTGTGTGAGTCCACTGCAGAGCATTTTCATTTTGATGCCATCACAAGTGTCCTCCACATTTATTGTATTTTCCCAACCTACACTTTCCTTTTTCAAGCTGCTTCTCACGTCTCTTGTAAGAGGCTAAGAATCCGTGTCTGTGATAATTGGATCTTTTCTCCTCCCACTTTTCTCCTGCAGTCTTCATGGAACAAATCAGCCACCCAGCCCTGGACAAACAGCATTGCCAGATACGGGGACACCATCACCAAGGAGCCCCTCTCTGCTGTGAACGGGTCACTCAAGCTCCCCTCCAGCACAGGGCAGAAGCTTCTGTTACAAGCTCTGGTTTATGATGCTGTGATGGTGGGTGTTTAAATTATTGACTTATGTATTCTGATGTGGGTTTTCCATTTATGTTCCCCATCTCCCTTTCTCCTTTTTGCAGCCCCTTTTTGTGGGCTTGTTCTTCTGGTGACAGTCAGGTGGGCTCAGAAGCTCAGTTGTCAGCGGGGCTGTGGCATTCCTGGTCACTGAGGACCTGGATCCAGGCACCAGCAGTCTGCTTGGAGTCTTTGCTGTGGCCATGCAGCACTCAGCCCCTTGAATGACTTAGGAGCTGCAGAGCTCAGCACAGTCATTAAGATCTACAGTCTGATGGAGGGATTGCATTTTTGGCTGTAAAAGGAGTCAAAGATCAAGGGTTGATTTAAACTCCCTTCTCCAGATAGGGCAGAGCAATTTCCACTGCACTTGTGTTCTTTATGCGGGTGCACAGACTGGGAGGAAATCCTATTTCTGATATTGCTTCACTGGAATAAACATGCACTCCCGTGTTTGGGAGAGTTTGTGCAAGGATTGGGATGTCTGTGCCACAGTCTCAACAAAGCAAGCTGGCACCTGCTCAGGCTGACTCTGTACCAGAAGATTTCTTTGGTTATTGTTTTAAAAAGTTTGTCCTCCACCCCCTGCAACTACTTCTAAGTAACCCACCTATGTTTCCTTCCTAGACAGTGGTGTGAAAATCAATTATACACAGGATGTAATTAACATTGTGGATAGAGTTAAGACAATGTTTTACAGCCCAATTACAGGGCACTGTTTACAGCACAGCTTACCCAGCAGAGTTTGTCAACAAAAGGAGAAAAGTGTTAAAATATGTAAATGATGCTCAAAGTTGGCTTCAACAGAAAGAGCAAATTACACGTGGGATATCACTTCCATACCCTGAATTGTCTTCTTGCTGCTACATCACACTCTGCCCAGAATCCGAGCGTTGATTGCCTAGAGAGCTCTTTGTGAGTTTCCACAATAATTTGTCTGTTAAATTATTGAGTGATAATCTCGTGGAATGACCTGCTTGTCAGCCAGATTTGTGGAGATCTGTAGCCTGAGCTCTGCTTAAAACACTGCAGAGCAGAACTTACTGTTTTCTTTCTGAATTCAAGTGCTTGAATTTACACAGACTTTTGCAGGCTGTGACCAGGGCTCTAAGGAACACACACTTTGTGATATGTAGCCAAAATTAAAGCAGGAAATTGAAGGGAGCCCCGGTATCTCTCTCCGAAGCTGGTTTCCTAGAGTGCTGCCCATTCAGCCTTTTGAAATCTGGCCCTTAATATGGAAACAGACTGGTGAGTTTTGAAAATTGTAGGACAGAGACTTGGAGGAATGGTTGCTCCAGCCTGCCAAGAAACTGTGGGCAAATCACTTTGCTCCCTTGGGACTTGCTTTCTCAAGTGTAAAATAGGAATAATGATCCTGAGGTGATTTGAGATGTTTCTTAAGACTTCAGCTCTGAGAAGCACATCAAGATAATGTTTAATAGAGGCGTGTGTACATCCCATTGCACTCTGTGGGATTAAAAAGAAATACATTTCAGTGCTTGGTTGGGTTACAGCCTCAATTATCAGACTCTCACTTACTTTACCTTCTTTTTTTTTATTTCCCCCCTGTTTAATAACAGCATGAAACAAAGAAAAGCCACCCACCAGCCAACCTCCACCAAGTGGAAGCAGAGGTCATTGTCCATTCTGATTTTTCAGCCTCTGACAGAGACTATGACTCCCAGCTGCACACCCTGGAGAGTGAAGAGACAGAAATCGAGGACCAGGAGCCTGCAGAGCTCCCCTCAGGAGAGCTGGCTCTTCCTGGCTCTCCCAGCTCCCAGCAGGACACAGGCAAAGTGTTGGTGGACTGCACAGGGAATTTGGAGGCTCAGGCCCAGGCTGACACAAAGACTAACAAACCAGAGGCTGTTTGCATCCCTGGGCTCACCAATGGCTTCCACAGCCATGGAGAAAGTCTGGATTCAGTGGAGAGTGGAGACTCGGACTCCATCCAGGAAGGCGGGCGGGATGTGCAGCCAGTCAAGGGCCAGTTGCTTTCCACGGCCCCGGAGGAGGCCCCGCTCTGCAGTAACTCTGGTTTAACCAGTCCATCCTCAGCATCTGAGAACATGGCACGTGTCCACAGCCACACAGAGTGACCTGACCCGGTGCTGATCACGGCAGAGCTGTGAGGTGCTGCCTGCCCTCGGCTCATGGAGCCCAGCAGGAGCTGAGCGGGCACAGCATCTCCCAGAGCGGGGCTCGGACCCCTCAGCTGGGCACACGCCTGCAGGAAACCAGGAGGTACCTTGGGCAGGGCCGTCTCCTTCCCGCTGAAGCTGGTGAGTAGCTGGGTGTTGGTGAGAGCAGGATCGAGCCATCTGCCAAAGCTTGATGCAGAGAACCACGATGGAACGGAGCCTTTCTGCGCTAGACTGGGGCTGTCACTTCTCTGGAGTCCTCCAGGCGACTGGCAAGACGTCGTGTAATGCTGGGAAGTGGCAGAGCACACTGAGTGATCCTCCTCAACTGCCTCTGCACCGGGAGCGCCTTGGCACTGCCAACTGTGCCTGGATGGATCCTGTCACGGGAGTCCCGGGAGGGGGTGGAAGCCGATGGAAACAAATGCAGTGAGCTGCAACCACCAGCCTTTTCTGCCCTCCCGTGGTTAGAAGGATTCCCAGGCTCTCTGTAACTTCTACTAGCAGGCTGATGTAGTGGCCTTTTATTACACACTCTACGAGTGCCTCTAACAACTTGTACTATATAGAACCTTGTGCAGCGTCTGGGTCATTTCACCAGCCTGGACTTTGTTTTATGTAGGTTCTTGTACCTAATATTTTAGGTACACATCTGTCCTTTTAATGTACAACATGTATTTTTATTTCCTTGGAACATCTTTATATTATTTAATTTTATAAAGTGGAATAGTGTGTGGTATAGAGTAGCATTTTTACTACTTCTCTCTTTCTTTATTTTTTCCTCCCTAACAACACAACTACCTCATGTCTGTTGGAGAAAAAAAAAGAAAGCAGTAAGATCTACTCTTTTGTTATAGTCCATTATAGGTTTTAACTTATTCTTATACTGCCTTTTTCTAAAGAATATGTTTGCACTGGTTGTTGACTCTTTTTTAACACATAGTGCTGCAGATCTGATGTGTCTCTTGCTTTGTTTCTTTGACACCTTCCCTACAGCCTGAGAGTTGGGTTGTGTCTCTCTGTAGGACTGTGTTTTGCAGAAACTGCCAAAGGAGACTGCTCCAGCTGGGGGGATGTCGATCCATCTCTCATTAAAGAGCTTATACTAACGAAGAGAAAGAAGAACCAACAATTGCAAAAGTAACTTGCGATCTTGGGGACATCTATTTCATTTTTTGTGTGTGCCCAAGAGGAGACATCTCAGATGGTTTTGATTTCCAGAAAGCAGGACTCAGCCTTCTGTAAGCAGTGGACTAGCTGAAGGCTTTGGATGAACAAGTGAAATTTTCCAGTCACTTCTGAGAGTCCTGGCCAAAGTGCTTTTGGGTGGATCTTTTTTTTGAAGAGCAGAGCACTACCAGAGCTTTAAAATGAAAATCAAATCTTTGGTCTCATACCAGTCAGTCTGGTTTGAAAATCATCCGGTGACTGCTGATGATGCTGTTTGCTTACTGCTGACACATCTCTCAGCCTGGCCCTGCTTGGAGTGGACTTTTCTCCACCTTTTCTTTAGCCCTGCTCCAGGCTGCAGAGTTTGACTGCAAATGGTACCCATTGGACCAGCTCCGCAGGCGTAACAAGCATTGGTAACTCTGGTCATGAGTGTTTGGTAAATGTTTTGCCTTCCTGGAGGATTCAGAGATCTGGCCATTTGTTTATTTAAAAAATGAAGGAAAATATGCCCATCTCCCTAATTTCTTTTTGGAATTCCCCCAAAGCTCTGTGGGGGAGCCGTGTGCTGACCTGAGATCCTGTAGAAGACTTCAGGATTTGTTTTTTGTGGTGAAATCTGGATGGAGGTACCACTGCTTGCAGCAAGGAGAACCTCACTCTGCCAGCACCCTGTCCCTGCATCTGTTGTGAGGAGCCATGTCACAGTGTGCCCTGTGTGGAGCTGAGCTGGACCAGCCCATGTCCCTGCAATCCATCACACCCTGTTAGCTCCAGCTCTTCAGCAGAGGAGAACCTCCAAGCCTCCATGTACCCTGTTGGGAAGGATATTGGAGCTTCCACCTCTCCCCAGCCTGCAGCCCGTCCTCCCAGCACCACACACTGTTCTGGTAACTGGCTGGATTTCCAGTCGTTGCGCTCACTCTGTTTGCTCAGGTGCTGCTTGGTGTCTTGAGGAGTCTCAGAAATACTGTTCCATTCTCTGAAGAGCCATAACTCTGGAATGCTGTGGGACAGAGACTGGAAATTGGTGCCAGCGAGCTTGTGAGGCAGGAGTTAGTGTGCTACCAGAGCAAGGAGCTAGAAAGGCAGAGGATAATAACCCCCAGACCCCACTGCCACAAGACTTTGAAACTCATGACTCAGCAGGGTACAGCTAAGGCAGTGCAGTGTTATTGCAGGCAAATAGGGGCAATTCACATTCTGTGGGAGTGGAGGCAGAGGCACAAACCCTCCAGCTGGGCAGTGTTGGGCTGCAGAGGGTGGGGGGATGTTCTGCAGGTGGGCCTCAGTTCCCAGTTATTTCCATGGAACAGTCCTTGCCCTTCCCTAGTGACAGGACAGGCCCTGCACAAGCCATGTTGCCACTGCTGGGGTGCAGAAAGGGAGGAGGACACTTCTGCAAAATGCTCACTCTAGGGGAACCACTCCAGGGGAGCCCTTGGTTACTTCCTTTCACCTCCCAAACCAGTTCCTGTGCCCTCACACACGTCAGTGTGCTGAAGGACCGCTCCTGCTGAGCATCCTGGCCATCAGAGGGCAGTGCCAGGAGCAGTTTGGCCAGCAGCAGGTATGACCAGAGCACCAGAGTTCTCCTCCCAGCTCCCTGTCAGGACACAGTACCTGGGGCAGGTCATGGACCAGCCCTGAGCTTTCCATCCACAGGATGGAAGGGGATGGAGGCTTAGTCCATGGTGGCTGATATAGAAATGTGCCACAGTTTTCAGGGAGCTCCCTTGTACATGCACCCTCTGCTTTGTCTGTACTGACTTTAGCAATCCCACAGCCATGAGCTGAGCTGTGTGAAAGCTGTCCCTGCCTGCCACTGAAGGCAGGCACCATTCCCCTGGATCACCTTGGGCCAACCACCAAACCACCACAGTACTTATGTGCCCCGAGTACTTATCTTTGGGGGAGATGCAGGAGAGCACAAACAATTTTGCTTACACATCCCAAAAATACTTTCTCTCCTCATGCTGAGGCTTGTTCTGGTCTCATTACACCTCACCAAATTGTACCAGGATGCGAGACTGGCAGTGTTTGGACGTCCAAGAACTGTGGTGGCCTTGGGCTCATACGCCAAACCTCAGCTACAGAAATCCAGGCCGTTCCCCTGGAGCCAGGAGATCACCCCTGGCCGACAGCAGCAGAGCTGTCCCTGGACCAACGCTTGTCCACACAGAGTGCTGAGTGTCCGTGTCCAACTCAGCTGTGCTCCAGGTCTCTCTTGCCTGGAACACACGGGGACCTTTCAGCCCCAGCTAGAAATGAATTGAAGAAGACACATAATACACACTTGATGTGTAAAGCTGAAACAACCAGTGCATATATTTTTTTATCATGGAATAAGTAGCTTTCTTGCAGATTTCTCACAGGCACACAAACTGTTGATACCTTTAATTACCCATCATGCTTAATATCTGTTCCTGCACACCAGGCTCCTTTCTCCCTTTTCTTCCTTTCAGTAACACTAAAGATTATTGCTGTTCAACTTTTTTGCTGGTGTATATTGTTTTACATTGTTAAAATGTCAGGTTTGTCTCACTGGCATAATTTTGTAGTATTAATGTTACTGTTTGGCTACACAACTGTATATTCCCCATGCTGCTGTGAGAGTCACAATTCTCAACCTTTCATTTCTTTTCATTCCTTGTTACGTGAAAAACACGACTCAGAAAACCCTCTATCAGCTTTTTGTTGATTTGATTTCTTACTTAACAGACAGCAAAGTTCTGGTTTAAATAGTTCAAATGAGATAACTTATAATTTAGGGTTTGAGAATCTTTTTACATTACTAGCTAACAGTCCTGAGATCAGCCCATGAAATATGCTGTGTAAGAAAACAACCATTTTACTAGAGCACTGTATATGTTTTTGGTCTCATTAGTAATAGATGTTTTGAAGGGATCATTGTGTCTTTTCTAATCAATACTTTTGTTAGAAAAGTGGTGTTTAGTCCAGCAGAAATCTGCCATCTATTTCTGTTATTCTATTCCCTTGCTTGTATTTTCAAGTTAAATTTCATTTAATTTTCTGCACAGTGCATAAGGATGTGTAACCAGAACTTGATCTTGTTTGAAGGTTGTGTCTGTGTTTGATTCCATGCTGTACTTTATTATAACTTTCTTTCTTCAGAGACTGTTCTTACTCCACAAATACTCTTTAGTGTTAAAGTGTAAGAAGACATTGTCCTTATATTCCTTAACTAATGGGTTATTAATAAAATGTTTTAAAAAAAAGAGTGGAATTTGTCTCACGATTCAGTCTGTTACAGCTGTGCAAGGCTGTACCTTGCTGGGGGAAGCAGTGGTGGGAGCAGGTCCAGGATTCACACTCAGTTCAGTGCCTGAGCTCATCACCATGAAGGTTGGGAATGTGGGATGATAGTGGATGCCTGGTTTCTTAGGGATTCTTCTGGAATTCCAGACAGGGGCAGAATTTGAGTTCATTAGGCATTTCTGGATGCTTGCTCATTTCTCAGTTTTGAACCAATTCCTATAAGGAAAAAGAGAAATTATTTGTCCAGTTTCATGCTTCATCTTGCTGGGGAATTTCTTAATGGGAAAAATAAGCAGAGGCATCTCGCAAATGAGTGGTGAGACTTCTCTTGGATGGCACACTGGGCTGAATGCTCAGTGCCTTCTGTCCGGGGAGATGGGCAAGAGGATATCTGGCAGTGCCCGAGGACATGCTGTTAACCTCCTGTGCATCTCCCTTCCTTCCTGGGATGCATTCCCTACTTCGGTAGATAGTTTCCATTATTACTTTACGCTGCCAGGACTACAGAGCCATAAAATCTCATTTTATCTGCATTACAGAGGTAATAAATCTGCGCTTAGCACAGCGTTCTCTGATAGTGGTTAAAGGGAACTCTGTCAGATGGCGTAACTCTGATGAGTCTTTCTCCTAATGACAGGTAACCCCAGAAACAAGCAAGGAAGCACCTTGGGGGGGTGGTGATGGGCAACTCAACAGGATCCTCAATAGACACACAGAAAACAGTTTCTGCTGGGGAATACAGCTTCCAGAAGCAGGTCCCGGGGTTGTCCCACCACTGCTGGCACAGCTCTCGGCTCAGTGCCTTGAGGTGGGTGCCACGATTTTGGCTCCCGCTCCCTATTGCTCACTGACCACAAAACAGATGCTAAAACCCCATGTGTACGTATGTAAGTGAAAAGCTCCCAGGCTGTTTGCAGGCAGGGAAACCACAATTACACATAGAATAATAAATGGAGTGAATTCAGACAAGTTAATCTCCCACTTCATCCACTGAAACTACTAATGGTGTCTTGGGGACCTCAGTTTGCAGTTAATTGGCGTAAATCAGGAGCACAACTGGAGCTGATGGAAATTTGCTGTGCAGAGAGTGAGGTGTGAGTGATGCCCTCTGAGGGCAGCTCTCTTGGAGGATAACCTCGTGGAGAGGGAGGACAGATGCGTGGGCAGACCCTGTGCCACAGTGCAGGAGGGAGGACAGAGGAACAGACCCTAGGACTGCTCTGCAGGGTAGGGTTTGGAGCCTCAGTTCAGGCTGGACACTGTCACTTCTATAACCCTGCTGCTTTTCCAAAGGCTCCGATTTCTGCTTGCAGTGTGATAAGCAAATTCCTGCCTCCAATACAAAGCAACTTTTCTAAGCCCTCATGGTTACAGAGCATAGAAAAATGAGTGCCCTGAATTCCTGCTCTCAGTTGGCTGCAAAAGCCCCAAACCTGCCTTTTTCCTAAAAAATCTCACGTTTTTTCACACGAGTCCTGTTGTTTGGCAGGACTGCCCACTCTTCCAATTTCTGAATGTGCCACCAGCACTGTCACCAGTGTCATTTGCAGATGCAGGGCTGAACTTGGTGATGCCCTAAACAAGTACCTACCTCCCCCAGCTGGGTCCTGCCAGTGCGCACGGCAGCAAAAGCACCCAAAATCTGTGGTTTCTGGGGAAAACAGCTCTGTGAAGCACATGGTGCTTTATTTCTCTTGGAATTATTAATTCCCACAAGCTATCCTCAGTGACAGCGGCGTCCTGGAAGCTGCCACAAGCCCACGATGGCTGTGAGCATTATAAAATGCTGGTGGGGCCCCAAGGCAGGAGCCAGGGAGTCGGAGCAAGAGCACGGCTAGTGCCAAAAGGTCAGGGACAGCACAGAAATTCAGATGTTACCGAGAGGCTGGCGGAGCCAGAGCAAATTCTTCCCCAGCTGAAAGCAACCTCGTACAGCTCAGCCCTCCACTAAACGAGGGAAGCTTTAATGTGGAGCAGATGTAGTGACGTCTTCTTTCCTCGTTAGCTGATTCCGACATGCTCAGGGTGCACCATCCAGGGGAGCCTAACGTTGCTCCTCTTCACAAAGGGGTTTTCACCAAATTTCTGGGAATGGTTACATGGTTTAGAACAGTCCATCAAGATCTGATTTTAGTCTGAAAAAAGAAATTAATTAGGATCCACTTTTATTTCTTCTTAGTTGTTTTCTCGCCAAGCAAACACCACAAGAGACACTGAGCTGTTCTTGCAGAGATGGCTTTTGCTGCTGACAGTGATGATGGGAGTTATGTTTGTGGAGAATGTGGGCCAAGGGACAGGGCAGGATAGTTGGAAGGCACAAAATATTGTGTGGGCGCTGGGGCTGAGAGCTATATAGGGATGCATTATCCTCATTTCATGCCAGGAGAGAGGACAAATCATCCTGCTGTGGCAGGATTTAGGAGCAACTCATCCCTTACTGGGTCCTTCCTCACTGGGGCCTCTTCCAGAGTGAGCAGGCTGGTCCAACATCTGCGTGAGCGATCCGGGTAAGTCACCTTAGGATAGCGTTAAAATCAGGAGCACTGAGGTGGGACAAATCAAGCACTTCTTCGTTCCTGCGAGCTTGCCCCAGTGAGGGGAGCCCTGTGAAGGGATCCCCGGGAGCCGAACTGGTGAGAGGAGGCCCTCGAGGGGGCTCTGATGAGAGAGGTCCTGTGAGGGGAGAAGCGTGAGGGGTCCCCGGTGAGGGAGACCTGTGAGCGGAGACTCATGAGGGGGCTCCGGTGAGGGGAGACCTGTGGGGCTGCCCCAGGTACGGGAGATAAGTGAGGGGGAGACCCGTGAGGTAGCACTGGTGAGAAGAGCTCTGTGATGGGAGCCCCGTGAGGTGGAACCACTGAGGGGAGAGCTGTGAGGGGGCTCCGGCGACGGGAGACCCCTGAGGGTCCCTGCACGCTCCTCGCAGGTCCTGGGCGCAGAGCGGCCCCCGTGCCCCTTGTCCCCTCAGCCCGGCCGGCGCTGGCGGCGCCCCGGCGAATGCGCAAGATGGCGCAAGGCGCTGCCCGCCCGCCCCCCGCCCGCCGGCGGCCCCGCTCCCTCAGCGCCGCCCCCCGCCCGCCCGGCGCGGCGGCGTGTTCGCGCCGAGGGCAGCACCGCTGAGAGCCGCTTTTCCCCTTTTTTCCCCCCTTTCCTTTCCCCCTTCCCTCACCCCTCCCGCCCCGCAGCTGGGGGTGGTTCTCGCCTGCCCGCCCTCCCTCCTCCCCTCCCTCCCTGCCGGCGGGCTGCTCCCTCCCCGTGGGGCGCAGGGAGGCGAGCCCGCCCGCCCGGGATGCCATGGCTCCGCCGGGCTCCGCGCTGCCCGCCTGCCTGCTGGGGCTGCTGCTGCTCGTGTGCTGCGGAGGTAAGAGCCGGGCTGGGCTGGGGGAGCGGGCGGGGGCGCGGACACGGACCGCGGACCTGCCGCCGCGCCCGGCGCCGCTCCCGCCCCGCGGCCGCTCCGTCCGTCGGTCGCTCCCGCACTTCGCGTCTCCTCGTCACCCCCGAGGTGGCCGGGGCAGTGCTCGTCCGCGCTCCCCCTGTCCCTCCCCATCTCCGCTGCCGCTCCCGGTCCCCCTTGCTCGCCCGCGGTCACGGGCAGCCCCGCGGCACCGGGGCCGAGCAGCTGCGCGGTGTCCGCCCGTGAGGCGCGGGGGTCCCCGCGGGGCAGTGGGAGTCGTCTCTTGGAGCTGCCGAGTCCTACACCAGCCCATCCAGCGCCTTCACCCGCGGAGGTCCCGAGGTGCTCCCCCCCGGAGCTGTGCTTCCAGTTGGAAACCCCGCGTGCGGAGGGCTCTGGGGAGGGATGATGGAGTTTGTGGAGCCCGAGCCCCCACCGCTGGCGCTGGGGAGGGATGGGGTGGCTGCCGGGGCAGTGGCGTGGCGGGGCATCCACCCGTACCGGGAGGGCAGAGCCGGGATCGTCACGGCGATGGGAGCGGGAGGCAGCGCCCGGCGGGCGCGTCGCGTTCGTCAGGAAAGGAGACTGAGACAGAGATGTTGGGTGACAAGTTGCAGGGGATGAGGGCGAGCAACTTATATTGTGCTCTCCTGTAACGCTCAGCTCTGTCCACTCCGGTAACACAGTCCATCGGACCAGGGCCAGACGACAAAACATCAAAGGGATCTTTCCCGGCACCTCCTGTGCACGTGCCCTGCTGATAAATGGCAATATTTTCCTTCTGCTGGTGATACTGCTTAAGCGTGGGGCTAATCTGAGAAAGATGCTGTTCTGCAGCAAAATACCCGTGTGCATCCTGCTCTTGTCTCCCTTAGCAGCCTTAAAGATAAGGAAAAGTAAGAATTGAGCAACGTGCTCTAGTGGAAGGTGTCTCTGCCCATGGCAGGGTGGTTGGAGCAAGATGGTCCTTAAAGTTTCTTCCAACTCAAACCATTCTATGATTATTCTATGAGTTGTTTTAAAAGAAAACCCTGCAAGCATGGTCTGACCCAGCATGATCAGAGAGAAAAAGTGTGCGTTAGATTTATCAGAGATAGCTGCTGGGGTGTTTAGGAAACAAGGCTGTGGGCTAGTCCCATCATAAATCTCGCCACGTGGTCCGTAGCAGCCACGGCGAGGAGGAGAAGCCAGTGTAACTCGCAGAAAATAGAAGTGATCTGTGAAGTGGATGTAATGAAGCAGGTCTCGTTATTCTGTTGAGATTCCTGGATAGCGCAATGAGCATGGTTGAAAAAGTACTTTTTTTTTTTGTTTGGAGGGAGGGAGGGAGGAAAGTAAGAAGTGAATACTTGAAAGCAAAACTTTAGCAAGTTGAGTTCGTGTCTGGGTTATCGCCTGCTGCTGTCCAAATTGCTCTGTGTGTTTGTTTATGCTGCGCCTTGGCGGGTCAGCGGCTCCTGACTTTGGGGTGTGTTTTGCTGGCCCCGCTGAGGAGCGTTTGGCAGCACTTTCAAAGTTTCTCTGTTCCGAGGTTTTTTTCCCCCTTCGGAGGGTTTAGTCGCTCTCTGTGGTCAACAGCGAGGTAACGCGTTTCTGCGCTCCGCTGAATTTAACAAACCCTCCCGTGCTGGTGTCAGTGAGCGCGGAGCAGCCTCGCCGCGGGGACGGACCCTGTGTCGGAGCTGTGCGGGACACGATGCTCTCCGCTCCCGGCCCACAGGTTTTCAAACTCCCCAAAATGCTGGTCTGGCAACTATGAACGAGGCGCTGGGAGCTGCTGGTCAGCGTGCTGGAGTGGGCTCAGCAGCGAGACAGTATTTTCTTTCTTTTTTTCTTTTTTTTTTTTTTTTTTTAATTTCCTGGAGCTCTTTGTTCTGGGTAGTGGACAGCTTTTGTCTGTTATTGCTGAGCCCGGCATTCAAAGGCAGGCATAGGATACGAGAGGCTCCCCGGCTCTGCTCAGTAACAGCCTTGGAATTAAACATCATCATTTATATTTAAGTAGGCTTAACTTCTAAATTATTGAAGCTATAAGCTTTCACTAATTTCTGCTCTGTATGGCTTTGTTGGTGTTTTTTTTTCTTTTTTTCCAGATGTAAAAAAAGGATTGCTTTCTCCTAAATTGGTGTAATACCCTGTCTTTTTTCTTAATATACATAGAGAGTATCAGGTATCATTTCCCCAATAACACTCAGAGACTGTATGAAATTCAAGCCCACATTTGGGCTTCATCTCTCTTGGGGGGCTCAACAGGAGAATCTTGGGACGTGGTTTTCCCGCGTGGTGGAAGCAGCAGCAGGCCATGAAATGGGGTGGGTGTCTCACAGCTTTATCCTCATGTACCATGTTTGGGACCTGTGCTGGGGACGGAGCTGATGAGTCTGAGTGTGCAGCCAGCTGTGCCCGTGGCACTCAGATGCCTGCTGGGACCATCAGGGTGCCAAAATTAAACTTTGGAAGTTTATAAAGCAAGATGAGAGAGAGGGCAACAGGGCAGGTCGGTCCCCTCCTCATCTGCCCTGCCACTCCCCCCACAAGGCGTAAAAATCCTAAACTCGTCTTGTTACCTATCAGGCTCTGGACCTTGCACAGATCAAGCTCCTATGCTTGCTTAGAAGCTGGCAGAGGGTCCCAGATCCAGGATTACAACCCAATTCCCTGTTCCTCTCCATCTTGCTCATTCCCAGTTTTGGCCCACGTGCTGTCTGCCTGGCATGGGCCAGTATCGAGCAGCTCAGCAGCAGCACTGCCCAGCAGAGAGCTGCAAAACTGCTACCATTTTGTGACTGAAAATGAAAAGGTTTTTCTCCCTCTTTTCTGTCTGCCTGAACTTTTCTTTCTCCGACTCCCTTGTTTCTGGAGGGTCCTGTGTCACAATGTGTGAAGTGCTAAGCAGTGATCCCATGCAATGCCAGCCCCTTGCTTCACAAACCCTTGGACACTGCTCCAAGGATGAGCAGATGGGATGAGCAGACCATGGGCTTCATTTTGCATCCTGCACCAGATCTGGGACAGAAGATCTTTTTTCCCCACTATATTTCATGCTTTGCAGTTCTGGGCTTCTGACCCTGGATATTGTCCTTTTATTTGTCTGACAAAACAATGCAGGAATCCCCTTCTGCAGTTTAAGAATTCCCATTTAAATCAACTGAATAACATTAGGCAGGAAAAGGAATAGTCCATTCAAAATTACTTTGAAATCACAAACTTATTTGAACTTTACTGGAGCTTTTAGTTTTACAGAGTTTAGAAACTAATAAATTATGTAGCAGGGCTCATGAAAATCTACCCAAGTCTGCTTATCCAAAAGAATATCCAACATTTTGGTTTTGCAAGAAAATAAAAATAATTGTTTACACATGTTCAGGAGTCATTGGCAAGCATATAAAACTGATGGTTAAGGAGGTGACCATGTCAATAATTGCAGTTTAAGAGAAGAGAGAGGGAAATAGGTGAGAGATGAGGAAAGCACAGAGCACACTGATCTGGCCTTGCTGTTATATCGGGTGTCACCCTTGCATCGCACCCTCCACTTGAGAGCAGCCCAGTCACTTAATAACCCAGACCTGCTCCACGTCGGTAATTTAAAACCGGAGTTTCAGAGCAGAGTCAAGGATTTGCTGCCTGGCTTTTTTTGTTGTTCTTGCACATGTGATTGTGTTGATGAAGCTGATGGCAAGTCAGGGGATGCGGGTTGTGGGGGGTGGTTCTGCTGGGTTGGGGAGATGCTTTTGCAAAAGGATCGTTGCCGCTGAAACCTGAGAGCATGTGAAAAGGGAGAGAAGAGCTCGTGTTTCAAGGCGCTGGATTTGGAGTGGGCAGGGATCGGTGCAGTGCTCTGCTCCTTGGGAGGAGCAAGGGCGATGCTTTCCTGCATCCTGAATTTCAGTGTGGGAGGTGATAAGGCAGAGGGGATGACAGGGAGGAGGGAGCGCTGGGTTTGCTTTGATATAATTTTGTTTGCTGGACTCAATTAAGAGTTTCAAATATTTTGATGTGCACAGAAACTTCTCCTCCTCCAGAAACACCTTTCCTTCTCTTTCTTTGCATGCCACCCAGTCCTGCCTGAATGGAAGGACTCAAGCTGAAGTTCAGGGGCTGGGTGACGGGGCTGTGCTGGCTGGTGGGGTTTGGCACTGTGATGCCAAGTTGCCTGTGGCTCTTTTTGCAGCCTTGTGCCATCCTCCCATCCACCATGTCTCTGATCCACGGGCACCATAACCCACCTTGTGGCCAGTCCATCCCCTGCTGGGTCTGTGCAAGAGGCTGGCTGTGGGGACAGCCACCTCCCTGATGCTTTCCTGCAAGGTCAGGGAATGAAACTGCTGTTGTCCTGTTCTGCATTAGAGCAGCCTTGGGGGCTGAAGCCTATGGGGTCCCCGGCTCTGGCACAGCGTTTCCCATCTTGTCCACTGCCTTTGCTGTGCTCTCCTTTGCTGCACGTTTTTTTCTGCTCCGTGTTTGTGTCGCTGATGCCCTCTGTGGTGAAGCTGTGATCTGGTCAGGGCTGTGAAACACGTGGGGAATGCAAATAACAGCGCATCCTACGCTCAGCTTGCTGCCATGCTCTCGGGATCCTCGCTGTGGATGGAGCTACCGTGGGTAATTAGCTCAGGAAAGGTCTTTGCCCTTTCCAGCTATACCAACAGGTTTTATCCTGCCTTCGTCAGGATGGGGAAGCCCACAAGGGCTCAGAGCTCGTCCTGGAAAGGCCCGCTGTGCTGTGAACACTTCCAGCTTCCACAGCGCTCAACAAGTGACCTCCTGGGATTTGCCCAGTCCGGTCTCAAACATATGAAAATTATTTGGGGCAACTTCTCCAGCTCTTTGGGCTGTGCTTGCCTTCCTCAGCTAAAATCTGTGTCCCCAGTGAGGGCAGTGATCCTGTATGTTTCTGAGTTCTGCATGAGGTGGCTGAGAGGTTGTGTTGTCCCCGACAGAGACCTCCTGCAATTGCTTAACGAGTGGATGTGGTTTATGCTCCCTGATGGAAAAATCGCTTTATATAACCTCCCGTCCTAAAGGAAAGGGAATAAAAAATTCTGAGCTAGTAAACTTTACTGCCAGCAAGATGTGGGGCCTGTTACAGCCTATTCTCCTCTTCTTTAAATGTAAATTTTTCTGGATGCCCTAAAGAGCCAATTTGCACTTTACTACAGTGCAGTGCTTTTCTCCTTAGGGTCTAGGTCAGCCTCAAGGAGATTTAAGAGCGCACCAGCTGGATTTTTAGGCTGCCAATTTCATCAGCCTGAACCTTGTTATAATCTGTTGGAGAACATCTTTCAGGTCCATATATCTCTTGCTTCCATATCCTCCCATTTGCAGAAGGATTTGAATAAAAAACAACCCACCACTGAAAAAACAGGAGCCATTTTTCATAGGGCTGGCCCAAACTGCCCCCAGGTTTTTGGCCCTAATACTAACCTGCATCCCACTATAAAATCCTCTTGTCCTGGGCATCTTCTTTTGGCTTTATTGAAGCAGGACTGGAGTGGTTATCCATGGGAGTGGTAATGCTGCTGGTGTGTGCTGTGTTGTGCTGGGAACAAACAGAGTAAATCAGGAGGGGGCAAATTTCTGCTCATCAGAGGCAGTTTGCAGGTGGATGTCGTGCTGTTGGTGTGATGAGAGAGGAGCTGGGGCTGCCTTGGTCTCCTCACCAGTGCTCCTGATGATGCAGTGCCAGGAAGAGCAGGGTGGACTCAACTGCTCCTGCAATATCTCGCCTTGCCACGAGCTCAGCCCCGGCTCTTGGCAGCTCATTTCATCTCTCTGTGATTAATGTTCCCTGTCTAGAACAGGAGTAATAATACGGGCTTCATCTGTCGGGACCGTGTGCTCCCGGGGCAGGGATGGCCCTGCTGGCTGCAGGTCTGGATGGGGTCCAGGAGGATGAGCCAGGATGTGACTGAGGTCCTTGGCAGTGGATGTCACCGCTAATTAGAGCGGTGAGATTAGCTGCTGAGGCACGGGAGGGAAAGCCAAAATCGTGTTTCCCAAATCGAAAAGGACAATGCTAGGGTATGAGCAAGTTCTTTTGAAGCTTTGAATGTGAATCACAGTGTCAAGTAAAAAATAATTAAACTTATTTTTTTTTTAAATGTACTTCAAAGTGTCTTTTAAGCTTCCCATTAATTCGAAGTTCTTTCTCTCAGCACTAAATAAATCTCTTGGTTCAAAAGCACAAGTGCTAATTGGTTTCTCTGAGTATGCCTGTCTGCTTGATCAATAGGGGAAGTAGTTTTTGTTAAATATTTGCACATATAGTCACATATTGTATTGCTCAGGGAGATGGTAAATGTTTCTCAAAAGGAGACTTGTAGAATGAGGATTCCAGTAATTTTCTTGTGGCCTTTATGTCAGAGCTAATCACACTTCCTTCCTCCACCCCTTTGCAGAAAGCAAAGCAGTTTTCCCTCGCGTGCTGCCGGCGTCGAGAGGAGCGGGTTGTTCAGCTGCCTGCCTGACACCCCTGCTCTGACTGCAAACCCTGCCACTGTACTGCAGAGCTCACAGTTCATGCCCCGAGCAGGGAGTGGCTGGGAGCCACGCTGCCTCGCAGTCCCTTTCGGGAGTTACCTGGGATGGTGTGTGGGATGAGCTGGGTTTGGATATGCAGCCAGCTGTTGGAGATGGATGGGGCTTTCAAACTCCCTGAGTGAGTGTGCACGGCCTTGGCGATTTCCTCACTGTCTCTCAATTAATTGCACTTTTACTGTTTCCATGTGCTTGCAGACTGCCGTCTACTTCCAACTTTGCAGCGTTGTTGCTGTGCCCTGTTGCTGACTGCAATCAGTTATTTATGCTGACTGAGTTGGGTCCCTCTCTCCCCTTGCTCCACTGCCTCCTTGCTCTGTCTGTGCTCTCCCTCTGGCCCATCTGAGCTGATCTCTAGAGCAAACACCAGGAGCCTTCTTGTCTCACCATGGAGATTCCTCTGCAAATGTCTCTGTCTCTTTGTCTCTCATCCTGAGCATCCCAGGAAGGCAGTGCTCTGTGTTCTGAGTCCACCTTTGTGACAGGTGAAAGACAAAGGTTGGCTTCTCCCAAATCCCCAGATGGGATGGGCTTGCTTTTCCACGTCTGGTTAGTTGGTCAACTGGCCCTGAAGCCCCAGGAAAGAGGCAATGGGATTTCTTCAAGGTCTAATAAGCATCCCATGAGAAAAGCATGGGTGGAATTGAGGTGGAATTTGGGTGCTCCTGGACGCTGCACAGCGTCTACAGATTACAAACCAGTTGCACATTGTCGCACCTCAAGGCACAGTTCCGGTCCCAAATACAGCCTGAGGAGATCCCAGGACCAGCCCGTGTCCGTCCCCACTCCGGCATGTGCCTGAGGACACCAGTCCTAATTATGAGTGCCATCACTCCTGCAGCTCCAGCAGCCTGGAGTGAGGATGCAGACCGAATGTTTATGGAGGTAAACATGATTATCTCCAATCACAGACCTTAATGATGGTTGTTATAATGACAGCAGTTGTGGGAAGGGCATGTAATTATGTTGATTCTTCCTTTTATTGTACATATAATAATAAGCTGTTTTATCTTAAGAGTACAGGGGGAAGATGGGGCATTTATTTCATTAGGGCTTTTTTCTGATTGCCTGTTAGGCTAAATCCTGAAATTTTCAATCTTCCTGGAGTCTGAAGTCCCCTTCGGTTCAGTGTCAGAATGTGAGGGTCCTTATCCTGCCTAACTGCCAGGAGCACCCACACAGGGAATGGGGCCCCAGCATGGTGTTGAGACTCTGGCCACTTTGCAGAAAAATGCAGAGCATTCAACTAATTTCTTAATTTTCACCAAAAAAAAGGGTAATTGATGGGTTTGTGCTGGCTACAGTCTGACTTGCTGAGAGGACCCCAGGGCTATCTCATAAAAAAGAAGTCACAGTGAGCAATAGATCACTGAGATGGCTGGAGCTAGCCTGACATTTTAAGACTTAATGGGTTAATAAAGTGTGTGTTTTAGGTGTCTGTCACTGAGTAGGGTTTGTCCATTCCCTGCACACACTCATACCTTGTTGGCAGTACCTTTGGCCTGCCCTGCACTACCACTGCTGCCTTTGTCTGCTCCGTCCATCTGCCTCAGCTCAGGTTGCACTCAATGTTTATCCCCCGTAATCCAATTTAAGTTGCTGTAGAAAGCAGTGGGGATTTACAGAAAGAAAGAAAAAAATCTCACTGGTTTTGCAGAGCAGAGAAGACAGACTTTTTTTCCCTTCTCTTTCTTTAGTGTAACTGCCTCTTCTCATCTCTGTTATTCTTACCGTGCATTAACAGTCTGCCCTCCACCCTGGTTTTGAGCCTAGTGTGGGGGATCCTGTCCTTGGTGGGGTCTGTATGAGGGACAGGCATTAGAAAGACTGTGCTGTGGCTGGTGTTTGCCAAGAGATATTGCCTTGTGAGTCCCAATTCTGTGAGCAGCTGTGGAGTTGGTCCCCTGGAGCCCATGAAAGAGGGGAGAAGCTGTATCACAGGTTGGGAAACCACCCATGGAGGGGCTGATGCACAAGTGAACTGTTAGAAAGGCTTTCTCCACACTCAGATGAAATTGTAGTTTTCTTACTCTGCTCTCCTTTAAAAAGAATTGCCTCCATCCTGCGTTTACACCCTTCAGATATCTCTGTGGCTGCTGTTTCTTGGTTGCTTTTTATCTCTCATGTCAGCCGATATTTTGGGCCAATCTTTAAGCAATAGCTCTATTTCTGTCATCTTCTATAGCGTCTGATCATGACTATAGGGCAAATTATACCCTCAAAAGGTGTACTGGACCAAGTGAAGCATAACATGCCAAAGACACAGCGTTTAAACGTTCTGTTGGCAAAAGAAGTAAATTAGGACGTATCTGTGTGATGGGAAGCGAGGGTTTGCCTATTGTTGTTACAAATTCTGCAGTAACTTATCTCTCGCGGACATCGTTTAGCGTAATTGCTTTGCAAGAAACCTTTTGTGTGGCTGAGCCAGAACATTGTGCATTTGTATTTCGGTGCTTAACTTGCTCTTCATTAAGGGCTGAATAGCACCATCCTTTGGCTGTTACAGCGTGAGAGAGACCAAAGCGACAGAAGGGCATGGTGTTGTGTGCGAGAGGCAAACAGCCTCCTGCTCTGCCAAGCGGGAGAAGTGTCGGGAAGATGCCGGTGGCAATATGGTCTGAATCGGGAGCTGCCGATCCCCCCTTCACCCCCGCCGGCTGTGCTGCAAACGGGTCTGGGGCACGGCGCAGCCCCTCTCCGCCTGGTCGCGTGGGGAGAGGGATGGATTTCCAGAACTGGTGTGAACTTCTGCTCCTGGGCTGGGAATGGCTGACACTCTGTGCTTGTGCAATTCTTTTTGTGCAAGAGACAATTTTCGGGGGGGTTGTCAAGTGGGACTGGGGTTTGGCAGGCCACTGGAGGGGTGTGCCTGGCCATCCCCTTCACTGGAGCCTCCAAAGGCAACCTTGAAGGACCGTGCCTGTGGTTATGCCTTTGGAAATTGCACCCCGAGATTTTGAGAGCAAAGCCTTGGGAGGCACAGCAGGCCCAAGGGTTTCGTGTTTCTCCTAAACACTTGCACCCTGTAGCCCATCCAAAATGTTTCCATCATCCCCCATTTGCTGCCGTAGCAGTTGACTCTTGCTGCTCCTCATGGACGTGCTGCTGACTCTGTCCTTCTCTCTTCACTTCAGATTTTGGCCATTCCTCTGAGCTGGCATTCGTTGTGGAGCCCAGCGATGACATAGCCGTGCAGGAGCAACCCTTGATCCTGTACTGCCAGGTGGAGGGCATCCAGCCCATCACCATCACATGGAGGAAGAACGGCGTGATGATCGTGGACAGTGAGAATGCCTTCATGTTGGCCAACGGGTCGCTCTACGTCTCCCGCTTCCAGAGGCTCCGGGGAGATGGCTCTTCGGACGAGGGCGAGTACGATTGCATGGCACAGAACCACTATGGGCTGGTCGTGAGCCGGAAGGCCAAGATCCAGGCAGCAAGTAAGTGCAGGCAATCCCACAAGGGGCACTGGCTTTGTTGGGAAGCAGGAGGGCAGCATGGTGGGTGCTGGGTGTTCAGGGAGGGAGGGAGCATTAAAGAGAGGGAAGAGAAAATGAACATGGAGCTGGTATAGATGTCTGGCTGGCATCTAATCTGTGTAGCTGTCCAAGTGTGAAAGAAGAGCTAAACAGCTTTCTTGGGTAGAAAGCTAAAAACCACCTTCCAGCAGTAAATTCCCTGTGTCGGAGGGATAAGGTACTCTAAACTCACACAGTGAAGTCGTCTGTGGTTTGTGTATCTCCTGTGGTGAGTTTGGAAGCCCCTTTGCTGTGCAGCACAGCTGGGCTCTGCTTGACAGGCAGTGCTTCCCAAATCATAGGCAAAGACCTTCTGAAGGTCATGGTGTCTTTCATTTTGTTATTTAATGCTGGCAGTGTGGAGGCAGCAAGGTCTTATTTACTACCCGGCGTGGCAGCGCCTTTGGGGGCAAGGCTAACAACACCAGACAGATTGTCTGGTGGGGGAGCCCAGAGGAGGAGACAGATGAAAATGTCAGTGAGGGAATGAAGTTTAAAGGTGGGGGAGGAAGAATTCCAGGGCGGACTGTGACTCCAGCCCTGCATACTACCCACCTTAGCCCCTTACATTGCCCTGGCTGGAGCGGTTGGTCCTGTTGGGTTTCCTGGTTCTGCCCTGCCAGCTCTGGTTGCTGGTTTGTGTTTATCCCAGGACTGATGGCAGAGCTGGAGGGTCATGGTGGTTTCTGTCCCTGTTGTGTTGGTGGCCACCTTTGCCCACAGACTGTAGGCCCCGGGGGTGCAGCCACTGATCTTTTTGCATTCAACCAGGAGTTGCTGCTGGGTGTAATTTCTATGTGAGTGTGAGGTCAGGTGTCTGGTACAGCCCTGAGCCCTGTCCAAACACTGGTTTGTTAAGTAAGTTCTACTGCAGATTCTCCAACTTGCGTGGGAGATGGCTACTGCTCTTCTTTCAGTGCAAGCCACTTACCACTGCTTCTGTTGCGTTCACAAATCACACCATGACTTTTTTGTGCAAAGCAGGAAAGGTCTACAGCAAAGTCTGGGGCCGAGGTCCTCCATCTGCACTCCCCAAACCGGGGGTCCTTTCGGAGCGCGGCCGCCCGTTCCCCACAGCGCCGGGGCCGGCTGGCAGCCCACCAAGGGAACACTTCAGCCCTTGTGTATAACAATCCCCGAGTGCATGAAGTGGCCATCTGCAAACCTAGCTTTTCAGGAGTGTAAGAAGTGACATTGTCCAGGAGCCAAGGGCTTTGGGTCTGTGCCAGATTAGCAGCTGGATCTCAAACTTGTCAGTCTTGTGGTGCTAAACCTTGGAGCACTTTTGGTGAACGGCTCTGGCATTTATAAGCTGGAAGCCAGCTGACACACAAGCACAATGTCAAACTTCTTGGACCTGTAAACAGGAGATGTGAGAGCCAGAGGAATTACCTTTGGGATTGTGGATTGTCAATAAACACTGTTATCTCAGCTCCTGCATCAATATGTATGTGATGTGCTGTGTGTCCCTGAATAGTGTTTCCTTTTGAAGCCATAGTTTCACGTGAATCAAAATGAAAATGGGATTGTGTTGAAAATGCTCTGGACTCTCTTCTCACTTTGGGCTTGGTTGCTTGCCAGCCTTCAGAAGAGGTCTGGGTGAAGCCAGCACAAAACAGGGGGCCCCTGGCCTTGATGACACAGGTGCCTGCAGATAATGGGAATAAAACAGGATGTTGTGGGCAAATGTAACCTGCTGCTCAGGGCGAGCTCCCCTGCTGTGCCTGAGCTGCAGGAACATGCACTTACACTCAGGACTCGGCTTAATCGTAGATGAAATCTCCTAAGAATGAATCGCAGTTGTACCCCGAGCCCCCGTGTCTCACAGTGGTTACACACAAGCGACAGTGATTTTCCTTGCCCCAAGTCGCAATAAGCCAGTCAGAGAAGGGTAATTAACCCCATTTGAGAGATGACGGGACCGCTGCATCGAAGGAATGGGTGCTGGCTGCCTGGGAGGGGAAAAATCCCGAGCACTAAGCAGACCTTGGCGGAGCAGAGTAAATACTGCCGGTGGGTAAAACCTCATCCCAGTGCTGATCTCCCCTTCTCTCTGAGCCTGACATCTGAACACAAAAGCAAAGGAGAAATAAAAACCTTTCACAAACAAAAATCTTGAAAGTTGATCAAGGCTGTGCTACTGAGGAATAAAAGAGATCTGACAGAGCGGAGCCCCTCGAGAGCTCTGTTGCACTTTTCGCTGTCTTCAAAGGCAGGCTGTTAGTCTCATATCACCGTTACAGACCCTGGCTTTGTATTATTGCTTGGAATATAATCTTCTTGGCTTGGAGGAATGTACATATTTGCATTCAGGAAATGTGGGCTGGATATCATATTTTTATGTTTCAAATTTACTTCAACGCTTGGCATTGAGTAAAATTTAACTGGAAGAGTATGCTGCTCTCAGCCGCTGCGCGTGCGGCCCTGGTGGGCTCAAGGTGCCGGCAGTTTCCCCACGGGATGGGCACTTCTTAAAACCTTCCTCCTTAAAAATTGGCTCATTAAATTAATTTAATTAAAATTCAGGGGTATTTCTGTATGTCATCATTCTTAAGGGAAGATACTCAGAGGAGGGAAATGGACCTTGGCTGGTTTGTGGATTGGCAGGTCAGGTGCTAAACACACTGATAATATTTTTGTAGTGTAACCCTCTTTTGAACAAGCACGAGTGTGCAAGAAGCCTACGCGTGACTGAGCTGAGGGAGGCCCTCGGCATTTCCATCCTCTGCCTGACACCCCGGTTGGAATTCTTTCAGTTGCTGTTTCTGTGTCTGTTCAAACCCTGGTGTGTTAGTTTAAAAGGTTGTGGAATGCAACATGTTTTTATAATCTGATCAGGTTATTGAATACAGATCTTTTCTGTCTCCTAATGACAGTTTCATAATTTCGCATGACTCCGAGCTGTCTTAATTAAAATCAGTTTCATAGGCGGAGTGTTCTCTGGAGGCACTGCTTGGCTGTGTCTTCGTGGGTGTCTCTGAGGAGCTGGATTTCCCTTGTGCATGTCAGAAGCTGAGCATGCCTTTGCTCCCTGTGGATGGAGATACCCTCTGGGCAGTAGTACCATCCAGAGTCCACTCCTCTGGAAGGTGGGCTCCCCAAAGTACAGCCACCTTTCTTCTCATCACCACCCTTTGCTTAACTTGGCCTGACTTGACTCTGATCGTGTTGTCTCATGGCATTTCCAGCCCTTTTTGCCGATGCTGTAATTTGATGGACCTGGCTCCACATCATCATAAATCACAGCCCAGCCGGTGGAGTAAGACCCATTGATTATATCACTCAATAACAAGCAGTTACCACTAATTGGAAATCACCATCAAACTGGGTATCAGATCAGGCTCTGCACGTACCCAGCCTGAGAGTAGCAATTTTCCCTGTTTGATCTGATGCTTAAAAAAAAAAAATCAACAAAAAAAGGAGAGAGGGGGAGTAAGTCGATGGTGCAATTTAGAGCCAAAGAGGTTTCTTGAAGTTTGGTGAAATGGACCTGCCCAGTATTTGAAGTACTGTGGTACCTGATAATAACTCAGGAAGCTTTTCCTGCCAAGCTGCCTGGCTAAGAGAGGAGGTTGGGAATCACAGAGTTGTTAAAGCAGCAAAGATCTTCCCATCGTTTCAGCTCCTCTGCACAGAATATATTCAGGGTTTAACCTGCAGCCCCCTTTCCAGGCTCTGGGGTGGTGGGAAGAGCTGCTGAGCCCAAATAATGGCAGCATTTATAAGAGTGTAGAGACAAGAAGGAAGTCTAAAAGGATTAGGGAGAGACAAAGGGGGCTGATTATTTTATGGGTCACAATACAAGGCATTAGAGTGAGATCACAAAGGGATGTAATTACAAAAGAAGGCCATACTGGGGGGGATCAAACCAGGATTAGAGTGGGAAATGTTTTTACACAGTTTTGTTCCACTCATTATGAAGTTAGCATTTTAAATTAAGGTTTAAATAAGGTGGCACCAAAGTTGTCACCAAGGTATTTCCTGGGCAATGCCACTGTTTGGATGCAGATTGTGAGTCTCAGTTCAAAACACCAAGGCAGACCTTAAACACGTGGATTTGCTGTTGGTTTTTCTTGTGCCTGTACAATATCTATGTTGTCAGCAGAGCCCTACCTATGGCTTGTGCTTGGGACAAGTGAAACTGTTTCTGCAGCTGGAAGGTGGATACTTTTGTGATGACTTGTTTTAGTGGTGCAAAACGTGCTGGAGGTAAAGGTGTGTCCTGATGTCGGCTTATGGTTCTAGAGACGTGGTCCTGTTACTTCAAGGAACTTTTAGATAATGCTTTCTATTTTTATTTTTAAACTTCATTTTATTGCAGTTTAACCCCTAGTGTTACATGCCAAGTTTCCTCCATCCATAAACGAGATTTTTTTTCCATGTTGTGGCTCTGCTTTCATTTAATGCCCTTTCTTCTCCAATGCTGAGCAGAAGGGCTCAGTCCTGATGCCAGTGATGTTTCTTTATTGTCTGTGCTTTGAATGCTTATGGTAAGCCCAGAGCAAGTTCTGGGCTTGTAGCAGTGGGTCTCAGGGGAAAAATACCCATGAGGAATTACTAAAGGAAAAAAAAAGGAAAGAAAAAGAAATTAAGCAAAGCAGAAAGACTGTGAGAGGTTTCCAAAGGATGGATGTGATGGGTGAGTGGGTTATTTCCCTCCATCAGCTCTTTTGGCTGCCCCTAGGACATGCTTGCTCACGTGATGCTGCCTCTCACATCTGTACTGTAGCAGTGCTTGGCCCTGTGTGTGCTGCGAAACAAATGTACAAATATCGGAGTCACCGGGGGGAGATTGGAGAGATTTGACTGGGAATTTTAGTAGATTTGCAGGATTAAAAGAGTTTGTCACTTACCACCCACAGCATTTCAGCGTCTGCATGTAGCAGCCAGGATTCATCCTGAGACTTGAGCATATTATAAGA